TTCAGCAGGCTCTGAAATGAAAAAAAACATAGTCAAATGAATATGAATATAGTTTCAACAACATCAGATAAGTATCTTAGAAAAATTAGGGAAAGTTCTCCCTGAAAAAAGCCTCATTTTTTCCTCTTATGATCAGACTCAAATATCTTTGTCTGACATAAGTGTATGGATCTATAGAGTCTGCAGCACAATACAAAAACACTACACCAACTTGGGTCTGCAAACATTCAGAAACTATATTGGGTCAAAAAGAAGTTGCTCAACTCCATTTACTTTAGCTACTCACAGCATAAAGCTAAGTTCTCTGTTCAGATTAAGAGAAGTGACGTGTCTACAGTCTAAGTCACGGTCTAGCAGGGGTTACAGAGCTGTGCAGTGAGTAGAAATCCCAGCCAGACCCCATTCTAGGTTCTTAGATGTTATACTGACAAACTTCACTTGGCTGAATATCCATCTGGTGCAGACAGACACATAGTTTGAGTTAAGCAGACATCAATAAGTGGATACTGAATTGGCTATATATATTGCCCCTACTAATCCTTCGTTTCAGCTCACTCATCATCTGCAGAAAATCAAATCAAGGAACATGCCAATGACACAGCTTGAAAGGAAGTAATGTCTCTCTCTATTAATTCATTAATATTTAATAGCTATAAAAGCCACCATCACACACCATCTGTCAAAATAAAATGGCCCATCATGAGCAGCATGTACCCAGGACATGACTACTACTCTCCTCTGCCCATAAGGTCGGGAACTCCATACCCTACCCCTCCCCAAGGGCACGCGTCACGCTCTGCATCACCTGGTAGTGCTGGTGCCGGTGCCGGTGGTGGTGCTTCCGCTTCAGCTTTTTCTATCAGCTCTAAAATTAGACATGATCACTGTTAACTTGACAATGAAAATGGTCTGGCCCCACACGTAACACAAGGGCAACCTTACTTCGTGCATCTGCAAATCCTGAAACTTGTCTCATGAACAGGTTACTAACACTTGTGATCAGGCTGCAGTTCAGTACTTCTTGTTACAGAAAAATTCCCTCTCTTGCCTGCAAGCACCAAACGTTTCCTTGCAAGTCCTCATACGTTCTTCAGGGTAACGCATCGTACCTACATAAGCAGCAGGCTAGAGCCTTCCAATCATTCAGTTATGCTGGATGGATAACAGTCTGGTATTTCATGTCTCATTCAATTCTCTGGAAATGTTATTGAGCACTTCGGAAGGTTCCCTCTTACAAAGGGATCTGGCTGCCTGCTAAGAAGGTGTGACTAGGACTGGTGAGCAGGCCAGCGTGAGTTACTAACAGTAGTATCTTCCTGAGAACACTGAGCACTGGCAGTTCACAGACCAGCACGTTAGCAGGAATACTGCTGGCTGGACGCAAATGAACGAACGCCGGGTCGCTAAGGTGCAGGTGGGTAAGGCCAAGCAAACAACAGAGGGTTACTCAGCCTCTGAACTTCTCATCTGACACTGGCTCAGAAAGAACATGACACAGGACACTGTACTGGCAGTCTGGCCGTTTGTTTTTTCTCTTGTATAAGATCTAATAAGTCAGGTCACAACTATTTTACCCTACTGAAAATACTAAGATCTTTTCTTTTTTCCCCCCAAACGATTTCATTACTATGGCCAAATTGGCCATGGCACTTCAGGTAATTACACTCTGCCTCTCTAAACTGTTACAGTTTCAGCAGAATGCAGAATTTTGCAGTGGAACATGGTTGTGCAGCTACTGGAAAGTATGCTTATGAAGTGCTTATGAAGTGCTACTGTGATGGATCTGAACCTACAATGCAGGCAATCCCATGTAAGCCTGTTGCTCAGTCAGGGTCCTAATTTCTCTGGGATTCTGCAACTGAAAAATACAGCTTCAGTGCCTTGCATTTTCATATCAAAGTTAATGTTAATCTTTTACTATTCTGTAAATTTATCACACTGCTCCCAAGTTAATTGCACACTCATGTTTAGCCATGTCTTTTAATGGGACAGACAGACAAGAGAGTGAAACACAGAATTTGACCACTGTGGAACCTCTGCCACTAAGCCAAAACGTGGAAAAAAAATCCTGGTAAGTTACAAAAATGCATTTGACATCAGTGTTTCATAAATACTTACGATTGTTTATCACAAGTCCTGGAAATGGTCTGTAAAACAAACAAACAAAAAAAAAAGGTCACAAAGGTCATGCTAAAAAGTGAACAGAAAGTCAAACGAAACAGAAGGAACCATCATAGCAGCTCCTGGGCACTGTGGTTTATTCACCAGCATTTTTAGAAGTAGCATACGCAGAAAGATCTAAATCTTTCCCTTGGGCACAGCTAATTAACAAGGGAGTCACCTCTTCTTCAGAGCTCAATTAAATAAAAAATGTATCCAGCAAAAGTCCTTTCAGTTAGAATGTTTCACGATTAAGGGTTGAGAATTTGTATGCTTTGTAAAATACATTTAAGAAATTTCTCACTTTCTAAAGATAAACTGAAGCTTTTAGACTCCTGCAAGTTACATAAACCTGTAATTTTTTATTTTCAGTTCCTGAACTAGGATCTCAGCATGATTCCAAAGTTTCATCTATTCTGCTTCATGCATACAAATATTGCTTGTATATGTGTGTGTGTAGACATCTATGCAAATATAAGCATTTAAATAATATTCACTTTCATAATAATTGGACAGTATTGTATTTTTAAGTACTGTAGATGAACTCATTTTGTAGCAGAAAAAACATTTATCAGAGAATTTACCTTAACTCGGGAATTTTAACAACTGAAATACTTAAAAAACTATTAATGGTACTACAAACATACATCTCCTGTCAAGAGCCAACCATCTCTGGACCTGTCTCAATGCTTGATCTGATCGATGGGTGAGCAAGGCCCACAGCACTTCCGGACTGCGACACAAAATAGGTAGATTCCAACTTAAAAGGACAGCTCGCTGTAACATGTGGCATTAATAATATGCCCTTTGCCACTGTGAATTGGACGTGACCTCCAAAGAGATACCCTCTTCATTCATGCTACGAACATCTGGGCTTCATTTGACTTGACATGCTGTTTCCAAAATAGCCAACATCTTCCACTATTTAAGGATGCACTGCAGCTTCTATTCTTTCGATTCTCAATTTATTCAAGCTACAGGGCTGTCCCCACAACATCTGCACAATCTAATCCATGGCAGCTACATACCGAATGACAGTAAATTTGATAAACTCTGCTGATTCCAAAATCTTCCTCATCGAGCTGATTTCCAGATAGCTGGGAGCTTTAAACACCACGCCGGGAGGCATCCCATCCACCACCACACAGCCAGGGTTGATAGTGATTTTTCTGTACGGGACTTTCACAGGAAAATTCATACCAATGGCTTCACCTAAGTGCGAGAGGTCATGTTCATTTTCAAGTCTGCAAATTTATGATTGAATTGAAGAAAAGGTCCTCAGATGATTAAGAAACCAAAGGCAAACCCAAGCTTTCTATCAGATCTGAAACTAGGAAAATCCACTTGACAATTAAACCACTGCAGAGTTAGATATTTTGGATTGCACTCATGAATATTCCTGACAGTGTTAGTTACAACACTGACAGCTCACCGTGTAAAGAACCCAGATTCTGTTCCACTAAGAAAGGTACAGAACAGGGTATCTAAGGAAACAGCTACATGAAGGAAAAGAAAGCACTTCCTGCAACGTGCACAAAAAGCAATTCAACACAGCACTAGCGAAGGAATTTCAGCTGAAGAAACCCAGGTCATTACTGTCCTATGATGCAAATACAAAGTAGAAATAAAGAAAACCGTACCCAGCAAAAAGGTTAAGTTGCAGTTTAAAAATTACTCTCAAGTATTAGGAGGTCTCCCAAGCCCAAAAGAAGAATTAGTTTGCCTAAAAAAAATAAGTATGTCATCCACCTTTACACAGAAGTAAACAGGAAGAGGTGGGGGAACACAAAGCAATCTGTGATTTAGGAATTTTTTGTTTAAAATACCCAACAACCTACATCCCTTACGAAAGATTATTTTTGCCATCAAAGCACAGCATTCATCTGCAATTTCAAATTTGTTCAATATGAACAACATTAATTGCATTCACACCTAAGTAAAAAGTGGGAGTAAGAAGCAATTACCAAATTTCCGGCTAAAAAGATCATTTACTTGCTCTCTCAATTGTCTGGCCTTTTCTACTTTTGACAGTCGCTCACTTTCTTCATCTGGAAGAAAATGATAGCATAACATTAGAATTAAACCAGATGATTCTTTTCCCCCTGGGGCTTGTTTACTGTTGCATGTTTACTCAAAGCAGGTGTATCTGAGCGCTTCGAAACGGTGCCGTCTTTGTTCCCAGTTTTAGCACTAAACCAGAATTGTACAAATACACAAAAATAGATGGCTGACAAGAAATCTGTGAGCAGCTTCAAAGTATGTACATGACCAACATTAGACTTCCTATCTAGGCATGATTTTATAAACTTCATCTAAAATCATAAATTGTATTTTCACTCCAGGCAATGGTTGGGAAAAGCAAAAGCAGGGTGGCATTCTGGCCGCAGCATGCAATGTTCCTAGTGAACGCAGCCTGTGCCCGAGAAAGCAGTAATCAGTGTTTAAGACAAAGCAGGTCAGTCTGCACAGTTATTCACAGTTCAGTCCGAGTCCTGATCTCCTCGAGATGACAGGAAAGATGCAAATCAGCACTTGATTTAGTACATTAAAAAAAAAGGAAAAATAGGGATATTTCTTAACTAGGGGCCATGAATATTCTAGAGATGTCACTGAACGCAAGTTAGAAAATATTTAACATCTCAGAAAAAACAGAATGCTAAATTATGCTCTTTGTTGACTGTACTTACATTTCAGTGAACCAGCTTGACTGCAGGAAAAAACTTCATCAGACTAAATAAATGTCATGAAGAATATAAGCAGAAAAGGCCTGATGTGAAACCTGACAGCACACACACCTGGTATAGTTACTTGAATGATGTTAAGATCTTCAACTCCTGCAGCCGTGTTCACCACTGTGTTTGTTGTGGTGCTTGCTGTATTAGCTGAATTGTATTTTCCTAAGAGTAAGAAAACCAAATTCAGGAAGTTGTAAAAACCCCAAAACCTTAATTTTCATCTATAAAGAAAACATTTCAAAATAAGAGATATTTGCAAAGTTTAGAAATCAAACCCTGTCCCATTTTCAAAATGGGTTCAGCTTCCCATGAGACATACTTGTTGAAGGCACACAACACTCCCTCTTTCCAACTCAGGAGGCAAGCCCCTAGAAAGGGCTGGATTCAACATGTTAATCTTTACCTAACTGGTTTCCTAAAAAGACTTTAAAAAAAAAGGGAAAAAGCATGTGGAACATGTATTTTGGCATTTTTTTAACAGAAGAATCACAGTACCTGCAGTTAATTCAGTAGTACTCACCGATCCCTGCGTTCATGGCGGGCATGCACAGAAGAATAGCTATAGGTAAGCCACGCTGCCCAGTGGCACGAACTAGCATAGCTCAACTAACTCCTTGGAGTTTTGCCAACCCATAGTAACAGATAATAATAGGACTCAAAACATTCAATCCATAACCTGTCCGACACAATTATCTACTGGCTGTCTGCACTCTTATCTGTGCGGCATTTCTCATTTAGATTACCTACGTATCAGGAGCAAACAGTTTATCTCCAGAGCTGAATTACTTCCGTGAATCACACATTACTTGTTCCATTTTGATAAAAAGGTAGTAAAATATATGAGAGGCAGATTATTGTGAATAACTTTTTAAAAAATGTAATACTCTTACTAAAGCTACATTTAAACTCTAACTGCTATTTTTCCCATCTTAAAAACAAACAAGCAGACAAACAAGCCAACCACACCACAGAATGAGTCTTTCAGGAATTTGTTAACACCGTGCAGCTCTCCTGATTTGTATTTAATTGCTCAGAGAGACCGTTATCTAGAATGTTAACTAGCTGAAAAACTCACTTTGGGGGCTTCTAGCAGAACTTTCCTTCACAGCCGCTTCAAACATCTCAGGCCTGCAAACGATAATAAAATTACATTCACCAAAACGAAAGAAAATGCCATTTTCTAATATTAATTTACTAAAGACAAGAACTAAGTGATATTGTAAATGCTATATTCCTCTCAGCTAAACAGGCAGCCAAGAATGCAACAGCTGAGAGGCTGTACAACTTCTCTTCCCACTGCTTTTACATTGGCACATGGGTATCTAAACCTCCTCTCATCAAGAAAAATAAATTCTTACAACGCCCAATATATGAGAATCTCCACTTCTCAGCTCTCAGTAGACGGCCAGCAAGTTTTCTGAGTAACCCTTAAGTGCTTCAAGCAGTAGGAACTAAACCAGTGGTGTGATAACTGAAATGGGCTAAGAAATCTGGACTTGCTCTTCCTCCAAAGAGAGGTTGTGAGTGTCTTTCTGAACATGATGAGATTACTGTATCTTGCTCCACCTCTGCAAGAGCTTTCTGACCATTTCCTCATTTCCTAAAAATATTCCAGTGTGTGTTTTGTAGAGTAATTTATCAACTCAGGAACATAATTCCATTGTGTGGTCTACATTCCAATTCTCATAGAATAGATTACCAAAGACACAATGGGAGTCTTACTTTTTAATAATGAATTTTATCTTTGATTTGTTTCTCAGGATCTTCTCTAGTCTTGGAATTCCAAAAGTAGAAGGCCGGCGGAATGGCACACCCTCGGGTAGTCCTTCCACGTAGAAAACCTCCGGGAAGGATTCAAACAGTGCGAACGGCACCTTTACTGGTTCAGTCAGCCCCAGCGCCTCCCCTGAAAGGCAACAGAGCAAATGAGCTACCAGATCGATAACGGATGTGGCTGTATAAAGGAAAATCTCAGGTATAAATGGTATGTAATACCACATATATACTAGATTGGGGAAACCAGCAGGCTTTCCTGTTTTTTTAGTGACAGCTATTAGTAGGCAGGAAGAAAATAAACAGGCTCAAACATAACTCATTCTGGTGCAGTAAATCTGAACATAATTTGCCACTGAAAATCTTAGTATTTATAGACGGCTCATGCCTCTGGCTGAGTCTGCGTATAAGATTATCCCATTTGTGCTCCACTTCGTTACAGGCAATGTATTCTGGCTTTGTCTCTGCCAGGGAATAGCACCAGGGCCAGGTGATGTTAGTGCTCTTGTTCCAAAAACTACATCAGGAGAGTAACCAGAAGTCATTACTTCCAAAAGTCATTAGCTTCCAAACAGCCTGGACTAGAAGAAGTGCTGGGACACGACTGAGCACGTCTGTCCAGACACCATCCATAACATATCGAGTCATGCAGAGACTGAGGCCCCACAAAGTCCCATTCATAAGCAGAGCGAAGAAAGCTTAAGATGCGCCAGGATGTGGAGTCACTATGTCTCTGGGCCATTAAAGAATTACTAATCCAACCACAACTTCTCCATTTCCAAACCCAAATGAGATGAACTAGTGGAAATGTGACACAGAATTGCAAGAAATCTATGTGGGAATGAACTCATAAGAAATTGTCCAGAGCGCACAAGGAATGCAGGACATTTGGAATAAACATGTGATATCTATCATACAACAAACTGCATGTTGCTAACAAAGACACCTCAGTAAAAAAGAATCAACAAACTTACCACACTTTTCATTAAAAAGATTTTCAACTTTCTGCTTTAAGTCAGTAATTTTGGCATTCCACGCCTCTGCCAGGAGAAAATGGGAAGAATTAAATCAACACCCGCACAATGAATTAGTCCTCAAGGAATACTTTAATAAATGTTTAATAAACAATTATGCTTGATAACTGATTTACTATGACCATAAAATGTGCAAAATAGCTTTCATTCTGCAAACGGCACTGAAACATTCTGCTGCAGTCTAAACCTATATCCACATAAATCATCCTCATTTTCCTAAGCCTTTGAAAGATACTGCTACTACATAAAGCAAAGGCAATTAAATTGAAATCCAAGAGTGATCCAGTATCAGGCAACATAAAATTCACTAATCTGAACCAGCACCTAAAAGAGTGGCAGAAAGTTCTTCACATGGTCAGTGACATAGCCCTGAGACACATGCTTCTCTCTTGAGAACTACAAGCTTGATCATTTTGACTTCAGTGAGGAAGATTAAATGTTCACCTAGCTAGGCTTTTTGTCTGACAACCATCAGCAGCAGTTGCTAGACTGGTTTACTGGTTGCTGCAGTAAGTGGTCTGTAGCTGGTCTACAAAACTCAGTTGAAAGTTTTAAAAAAATCACAAACTAAAGCTTAAAAAAAGCGCCTAGCTCTAACAATAACAAGCAAGTCTGAGAAAACTACCTAACTCTGAGTGCTGCCCATGCCAAAAGGAGCAGTCATACCAAACCATACCTTACATTCATTCTAAAAGGGCTCAGTAGGAATAAAGAATTCCTTTGTTTCACATTTTATGACTGTATGACTAAAAAGAAAGCATGGTGGACAAATACAATAAAGCAAATAACAACAAACTCCTATATAAATATAAGCAAATAAACTCAGAATGTAAGGATGCTGGAAAAAAAAGAGATTTCGTGAGACCTGGGAACTGCTTTGTTACTCTGAATATAGTCATTCCTCTCACTTGACTATGAGGAATTTGTCTGGGTTGCAAACTGACCCTTGCTTTCGATGCAAAGATTTCTGTGCCAGAGCACTGCAGACAGGCCTGGTCCTCCACGGCTCAAAAGCTCAGGCCCAATGCTCATGATACAACTACACGGCTTCCAGCCCTGGCTGGCTTTTCCTTTACTGAATTTTCCAGAAGTGGGGAGGTTTCTAACAGTGGTCTTGCAAAATCAGCTCTGATAGAACAGCTTACGAATGTTGGTTTGAATCCTTCCTCGTTCCTACGTACCACCTGGGTATCTCTGCAGTGATGCTCCTTATTTCAAGTGTGTGGATCACTTAAGCTTACTCACACTATCAGATCTCAGCTGGATTTAGGCACTCTAGGGGTGCTGTGCACCAGACAGTCCTTCAAGGGTCTGCACCACTGTGAAATAACAGTACAGCAGAAGCCTAAAGGGACTGATTCTGAACCCAAGTTAGTAAGATCCAAAGGACCCATGCTGCATTTGTACTGCATTCTCCAGAAACCACCCAGGATTTCTCTGAGGCAGGCTATTCTACATGACGAAGAACTGAACGTACATGAAAAGAAGAACTTCAGTCATTCACTAACTTCAGACTGAAACATGAATTCCAAGTATCTCCGATATGCAATCACGGGAATTTTCAATACCAGTGCTAATATAAAGTATGTGTGCTAACTCGCACAATGTTTACCAAAAGAAAACTCTCTTCCTCGTGGCTTGAAATTCATATTGGATCCGTTGGTTTGAGAATTAGTTCGAACATCTGTTTTTTGTGGTTTATTAGGACCTGTAAAGAGACATTACATACATACATGCAGAGAGCAGAAGCAAACCATCACACGAAAAGAACAACACATCACACTTGATTACTAGGGAAAACAACCTCTGAATCAAGGGTAGAATAAAAACCCCCTTAAGAAGTTCTTGTAGGGTTGTATTTAAGCATTTGCTACCACTGATCATGTCAGTCATTTCTCTGCTTAGGACTACACCAGTTCCCACATTTCTGCTTGGAATAGAGGGCCCAAGCAAGCTGTCAAACTCTCAACATTTTTATTAACCATCATCTGCACAGGATCCACTATTACTCAGAAACGAAAAATAAGACTGTTTCTATAATAAAGTGTACCTGGAGCCCTGAAATGAAACTCAGTTTGCTACAGAAGGTGCATGTGTAAGTTAATTATGGGCTATGAAAACTAAGAAGAACAGAAAACATTAGAATATAAAAACATTAGAAGACTATTTAATGATATTTCTTCCATACCTTCTTCAAGAGTAACTTCAATCTCTGGGACCTCGGATTTGCCTGCAGGACTTCGTGACACTTTTGAACTCTTTGGATTCGTTGCTGGAAGTCAACATAACACAAGGTGTAATGCACAATCCCTCTATAATGCGTGGCCTGCGCAGCTGGTGACAACACAGCTGTATTCTCAAAATTCCAACAGCCTGAACAATCACTTGTGTCTGTACTAAGTACAGTCTGCATCGTAAAATCTGAACAACACACTGACACTCGCAGCCTTAAAAAGCAAGTTTAGTACTCCTGAAAAAGGTAACTTATGGCACCTAAACTTTCACTCTGCTAATTCAGAACAGAAGACTGTTGTTTGTTGTGTGAGGGACAGCTTTGGTACTTTATTTTTTTATTTTGGTATTTTATTATCTAAACAACAAAATCATTAACTTCTGAATATTGCGGACAACCTAAACTTTTTTATTCTTTTCTTACAAAACTTCATTGTTATTTGATTCCGTTCACAGTTATAAGTTAAATATGGTTTAGACCATTAAAAGCAAAATAAAAAGTCGAAATTTGGTAAATTCCATTTTCTATACTGGAACAGCCTTAAGTAAAAAAAAGTAAATTTACGTTCTGAGTAGGTTTTCAAATAATAGTATATTTAGAGGCTACCACACTAGATCATCTTAAATAACGCCTTTTGTTTGTAACACCCATAGTTTTCAACCTCAGTCTGCCAAGGAAGCAGAAAGTAAGTATTTATGAACTGAATGACTTAATTGTTTACCTTTAGTGTTTATTTTACTAGCCAGTCCTGGAGGCAAATAGGAAGTGACAAGCTCAGGCCTAAAAGTTGAACAGAACACAGTCCAATTAATTACACATGCAAGAAAAATAATACAGCAAAATTGCTTGGAATTCTGTTCAGTTCCAATTCACATAACATCAGATTTCTATAATACAGTTTTGCTGGAAGCGTGGGTGACTCTCCATCCACTACAACCACAAAAAGTGAGAAAACATTCAGCTACATTTGCTACTCTAATTTTCTTCTGGGTTTATTTCAAGCAAGATAAATAAAAAGAAGGAAAAAGAAGAAAAGAAGCTTCCAGATACAAGACCACTAGATTCTTGATGCATGAAACAATTTATACATCTATATAAATTTAATAAAGAAGATCTATAGTTTCATGCGACAAAGCATATGTGAAAAATTCTGCCTTTCTGTTTCATGGAAACAGAATTTAGGTAGCATTTAAAGCCTAAAGCTGCTGGAAAGAAGTCAAGTAACATCAAAATGAGGAGTAAAACCAACAGAATTAAACATACTTTTTAACAACGAATTTGATTTTGCCACTCCCACGGACAATTCTTTCAAGGCGTGGAATTCCAAACCATGTGGGACTCCGGAAGGGGATTCCTTCTGGCAAGCCTTCAACGTACAGGTACTCAGGGTTGGATTCAAATACAGGATAGGGAACTTTCACTGCCTCCGAAAGCCCCAGAGCTTGGGCTGAAAATAAAGATTTAATGACAGTTTACACACCCAAATAACTGGTATTTCATCTCAAGTGGCTTGAAGATACTTGGCTTACAGAAGCTCTACTACTCAGGGATAATTTAAAAAATCCATGAGAAATATTTAAACAGTTTTTCTATTATTTTCTGTGGAACAATTGCAAATGGGGACTCGGTCCATCTTGTTACAGACAACATCTAAGCCTGCAGTGCCCAGTATTTTCTTAAGAACCTTTTCCATCCAAAAGCTTTTAGTGCTTTTGGATGGTATGTGCTTTTAGTGCACATACCATCATCATCTGCCACGTAACTGGAAAAACTATGGCCTAGGATGGAGTTATAAAGTCACTTATGTCAGTTGTAGGGAACAGTCAGTAAAAAGCAGGTAAGAGGACTCAAATTTCCATATTTGCCCCCATATGTTTCTCATGTTTAAATAAGATTGGTAAAATTTGCAACTCTCTTTACAGATGAGTTTTAAAATGCATCAGTGTTATAAAACAGTTCATTTAACATTTAACTTACCAAACTTTGTATTGAATATCTCTTCTACTTGCTTTCTTAGCTTTGTGATCCTGACGTTCCAATCTTCTTTCACTAAAACCAGAAATGGATACACATCAGAGTATGACACAGTTTGAAAGAGGTACACGTGAACAATTTCTTCCAAAACAAGAACTTGTAAACCATCAACACAATCACATGTGAGTAGACAAGGACACACAATAAGTAATGATGATTAATGGCAGCTTAAATGATACATGTAATTCCCTCTACATAATGGAAAATCTCTTTAAATGTAGTTATAAATTTCAAATATTGGCCCAAGTGAGAGAACTTGTTCTTCAGAGCCTTTAGATGCAGGAAAGGATTATTCTAGTGGCTCTTAAAAGTTGGAATTAATTAATCATAGTGCATAAGAATAACACTCTTTAGAACAGAAGATGAGGATTTAAAGAGTGCTTTGCTCAATGTTTTGATGAGCATAAAAAAATCATCTTCAGTCCTGTTCTCTACTGTAAATAAAAGCCAATTACAGGAGTGCTAGCCAGAGCAATTTGTAGCTTAGGTAGAGAAGAAAGCAAAGGACACCAGCAGCAATGAAAAGCATTTCTGAGAAACAGCATCATAATTCATTACTTTTCATCATAACCCACAAATAACAATTAACTGCTACTGAGGTAAAACTATTCAGAGTTGTGGAAAGCATGCATGAAGGAAGCTATACACAAATTTTGTGTTTATGAATCGTATTTTTGACTAACAAATTACTTGACCTTGTTTATTTCTAGCTTCTTATATTTTCAAGGCACAATGCCTTAATATTTTTGTAATCTGGCCTACTTATTTGACAGATTTAACAGGTATTTAACACCTGCATGTGTGTTAATACTCATACACACAATGTATGAGAATTACATTTTCTCTGTATCTCAAGAGACTAGCACTTAGGCAAAGGAATTAGACTAATTTACTTAAAACATTAAAATTTTATTTGCAGGCTATCTGTTGAGGGCACAGGATTACCACTTTGCAACAGAATAATATTTTCCTTGGCAACGTAAAGTTTGCATCTGCAATAAGAAGATCCTCAGCTCCTTTTTTACTGCCACCACTGGCACCTGCTGTCACCACTTCATTGTCAAACTGTGATTTACACTGTCAAATTTCACAACAACCGGGGTGTTGGCAACAAACCAAAAACAAAGAAAAAAAATTGATGTTGTCTTTTCCTTCTCCTCCACACTGAACAGTCTTTTCTACTGAGCTACTCCCTTGCTAAATGTGAGCCTTTTCCTAAAATCCAAACAGAATCCACAGTGTGTGGTAAGGCAACTACTGATTATGCGAATCATATTTTTTCTTTTTCTTTTTTTCCTGCAGCAAGCTCAACAAAATTATTTCCTAGAGCTGTGGTTTGTTTATCCAGTGAAATGTGTGTGGGGAAAAACCTAAGAAGCCCTGGATCTCAGTTTGTGTTAGTTATTACTACAAACAGATTCATACTCCTAAAAAACACCAAGATCTGGATTGGGCACTGCTGTAGCAAGAAAGTGCCAATACACTCCAATTCAGAGCATTCAGGAACAAAACACAATCTGATTCCTCCCCTGTGTTAAAGGCACTTCATGCTTTCAAGAAGTCATTACAATTCCTTACCCTCAGAGGCCTGAAAAAATCCCAGCAGTCAGCTGTGACATACTAAGGGGCTGCAAGAACTTTGATTCAGGCCAGGATTGTTGTCCCAGGCTGTGAAGGTGATTCCTTCTAGTTATTCAAAGACAGCTGGACTGCACCACGATCCAGGAAGCCATCCACGTTCATAATGATCAATCTATTCTGCGCAGACCTCATGAAGAGCATGTCAGCACAGCCATCACAGAAGGGGACTACTTTTTGCAAACTATTGCATTGGTCCAAATGTGTTTCCCCACCAAACCCTCCCATTCCCACTTGGAGACGGTGCCTGTCTTACCTGGGGTGTTTGACTTGGGCTGAGTAACTTCGGTTGAAGTGACAGTTAGCAGCTCTGGCCTGCAAGCAGAAACAAATAATCTGCCCCTTCTTGACGTAAACTAAATAGTGCTACTTACTATGACATCAATTGAAAAGTTTGGATTTTTCTATTAATATTTCACACCTGTGAACATGACTCAAAGATATCCTGGAAGACTTGTCTGAATTGCAAATACCCACTTCATAATGCAGAATATTTAATCTGCCTATGTGGTAACTAGAGACCGAATGCTTCATCACTTAATGAAACCAAGTGCATGGTAACACAAAAGGTGTTGGGTTTTTTACCTCTTTCTTAAAAAAAACAAAAACAAAAAATCCAAACCAACCAAACAAAAAAAACCACCCAAACCAAACATGTTTAGGCATTAAAACACACTTACTTTTTGATGACAAATTTTATTCTGTTGCTCACTTGAATTATTTTTTCAAGGCGAGGGATCCCATACCAGGAAGGACTCCTAAAAGGGATGTTCTCTGGCAGCCCTTCAACATAGAGGTCAGCGGGATGGGCCTCAAATTTCTGGTATGGAACAGCTTTTGGCTCAGTGCTCCCCAAGGCCTCAGCTGTTTGAACAAAACACGTCCAGTAACCAGACTGCCTGGCCATCAAGCATTATTAAAAGCTAGCTAGGCTACCAATTCTTCAGGCTGGTGCAATTCTGCTTTTAGAACCTGGGACAATGCAGGATTATCTAAACGCAACACAGTCCAAATGTCAGCACATCAAAACCACAGAAATTTACCGTGTTGTCTCATGTTGCTATTGGGCAGTCAGAATGAAGATTCGACTGAATGAAGGTTACTGGGTTCCTCACCGGGGCATAGTGCAGTGGTTTTATCCAAAGTTTTTAATCTCTTATAGAGCATCATGCAGCATTTTATTCTAGTACTACTGAAGCGATTTTTTATATTGGAAGGAACATAAAAACTCATCCAGAAATGTTCTAGTACTAATTGTAATGATACTGCTATGGATATAAATAAGTAAATGTTTGTTTTATTCACCATCAGAGCAAAACAAATCCAAATAGGAAGGAAGTGACAGCAATCAGAAAGCTGTACTTATAAGACTTGGAATTTAAATACAAATTTACCTTGTTGCATAAGCGGTTAAGTTATAAATTATTTTTCACTCAACTACTGGGATTCTAAATATTTTAAAAAACTGATCAAAAGTCTCATTCATGTAGGTATTCAAAGGAAATCATGAAAGCAGCTTTCAAGAAATACAAAGCCATAAAAAAAAAACCCACAAACCTATAATACTGTACTCACCAAACTTTTTACAGAAGAGTTGATCGACCATCTTTCTCAGTTTGGTGATTCTGGCATACCATTCCTCCTTCACTGTATGTGAGAGTGACACAGAACAAAACCAACATTCCCTAATTATTTTTGGTATATTTTCAGCAGTTCAGGTTTATAGCATGTGTAACCATCCTGCATTTTCAGGTAACCCAGACAATACTATGTGGAAGAAGCATGGATTCAACTTGGAACTAGGAGAATTAATTATGAAAAATGACAGAATGTTAAAACTGTACAAAAACCCATTGAACCAGTGACATTGCTCTTGCTGCAAAAGACACAGCGTATTGGCATGAACAACTGCAATGCTTTATGATCCGCCTCCAATGCGCACATCCCATTTGGAGATGGGGTTAGTTTGCCAGTATCATTTTCTAAAATGTTACCTTGATATTTAGGTGCAGAAATTGACATGCATATGGGATGAAAACTTGCTTTCAAGGAATGTTCACTAAGCACTGACAAGCCCAAAGCAAGTTTTTACAGTGGGTGCACACAGCAGTTTGCTCCTTGCTGTATATTCACGTTGAACTTCCAGCATCCATTTCTCCCACTGTTCATGGACAATACTTTTTAAATGGCAATTAACAACTACATCAAATGACACTAGGGATTTTGTCATTCTTCTTGACAAGCAGCTTAGTTCCAACTCTCCAGAATGTTTCCTTGACACCACCTAAGACATGAGTTAAGTAGTAATTTAGACATAGAACCCAGCATGTGGCAGGTATGTAGATCAGCATTTTCTGGTCAATAAACCAAGATTAAATACAGCTTTTCCACAATTTTATCACTTGAGCATCTTTACTTGTTGGCTGATACGCATGCAACTCTGGAGTTCATGAGACCAAGTTTTGCACCTGAGGATAGTCATGAGCTCGAGTTCTACTCCTCCAGCAGAACAACAGAGCACAATGATGATTGATAGTGCTGTCATATTTTGCAGGAATGGTAACAGCTTTTGTTCCTGTTTTGTCATGTGTGCTCATCCTTTGGGATTGTGACAGGTACCCCTGCTCCCAAACCCTGGTAATATGGTTAGCATAACTAATGTCATTTTGTAAAGCAAGCAGCCATTCTCTGCGACAGGGCGGGTCGTTCCCTTTCCCTTCACTCTCAGTCCCTGAAGGTCCAGTGAACCAAGTAGACAAACCAAACAGATTGCTTCTTCCCCTCCCTACCGGCCTCAAGATTACTCCCTTCCTCACTGGCTTTGAAGGTCCCAGGCATCTGACCAGTCCTATGGTGGTGATGTCCCCAGAACAGAACAGGGAAGTGTAACAGCACACGGAGCACTATCCATAAAAATCACACAGCTGCAAGTCCTAAGGGGTAAACTTGGTCTGAAGCTGCTCCTGGACAGTGAGACTCATGACCCCGCCGTGGCCAGGGACAGCTCCACCATCATCTTCTTCCTCCGAGGGTTGAGTGCCTCATCTTCTTTGGTATCATTTTTGAGTCTAGATTATGATTACTATATTGAAACAGCAAGCCATGTATTAAGATCTGACGCAATCTGCAGAGGGACTAGGTGATTAGAAACCATAGGTTAAGTTATATTATAAACTCTGTATTATGCTACTTTTAAATGGTGCCACATTGATTTTGCTTGTAAAAATCCTGTGTCATTCTAATAATAAATTCTACGCCATACTAATTATAATATCCTGTTAAAAAACATAAAGCTGTAACTGTAACTACAATTCAGTGCCGTCATCATTCTGCCAAGGATCCCTGAAGAACCTGTCCGTCCCCTCAGTGTCATGGGACTGGGATCAAAGCACATATCACAGAAATCTTTTTTCTTCTGAATGTGTCTTTGTGACCAGCAAGTGGAAACTCATCAGTTTTGAATAAGACACCAGACAGCTGCCACTCTCTGGGTTTAGTCAGCACACACAAGCACGAGCTTCTGCTCCATATCTGCATTGCACCCAGCTGGGCTACCTTCACACGCACCTCCTCACACTTATCCAGCCCTCTCCTCAGCCAACCCATCACCGCCGGACTGGTTTGTCTTGGAGCCAGTATCAGCCTTCTCAGGGCCGAGGCCACTTCATAAAACCTTCCTGACCAGTCTTTTCCCACAGGCATGCAAATGCAAATCACCTTTCTTCTGCCAGTCAAACCACCACTCATCCCATCCCTCTCCCGCAGGACACAAGCTAGCAGGGACTATGGACAGAGCAGGACATGGGGCCACCACAAGGACCCAAGAGCAGGGGCTGGCACTGCATGGCGCTCTCTCCTGAGGTGGCAGCAGACACACGGAGCAACAGAGATGAGTTACTGAAAAAGAGGGAATCTAAACAGGCAGAAAAGAAACTGAGGGAAAGGAGGCTCAGACAGCTGCTGTCTTCTGAGCTGTGTGCCCTGAGATGTTATTAACAGCTTCTCTCAGAAATAATGCAGACATCACACGGCAATATACCACCGTTACGAGCTAGCGAAGGCAGGCAACATAACGTGACTGTTCATAACACTGTGCCATAAAAATGGGTGACCACTGGTCTTCGTAGCTACAGGCGTTTTACAGGGCATGTAATGTACCTGCTTTGCCTTCATCAGTACAACTATATTAAATAAGACAAAAACAACAGAGAAAAGGGCTCATTAAAAAAAACACGTAAGAGTATAGTTAAGTTGAAGACTCAGACATTAGCCTATCTACTATTTTTACAGTCAAATGTGGTGCTCGAAGGAACAGTAGGTTATTAAGACTCAAGACACTAGGTTAACTTATACTGCAGGAAAAGTTTAATTCCTACACATGTGTTAAAGTGACATCCTTATAATTTCTTCGCTTAATTTAGATCCTGAATGTTCACTTTAAGTACAGTTTTTGATACACTTTTTACAACAGAAAACTGAGTACATAATACAACACAATGGTGCTGCAGTAGTGCCGATACTACCATTTATAGGCTTGTGTCCTTGCCTGAACTAAGGATTTCTCTGGTATTACTAAAAATTCACAGTTAACCAGGCTGAGGTTGCCAGTTAGCATTTTGGGGTTGAGAGCAATTTGTTTGCTACCACTGTTTCAGGCACACAAGCTTTCAGCACTTGGTTTAATTGGAAAATTAGAAAAATCCCCTGAAGCCCAAGAGACAGCAGAATACAACTGAAGAGAAAAACAAGCCCAAGAAAGTAATTTACCAACTAGTGCCCACCCAGAGGCACGCTTCTTTCAAAACTTGAGTTTTTTCCACACTAAACATTTTTCTTCCAGTTTGAGCGGACATGAATTCATGGATGCAATTGTAACAAAAGTCTACTCTTGTCTTGTTTTACATGGTTGTTTTTGTAACCTTTGGATGGGTGCTCAATGGAGACAACACATGTAAGAGCATGCATCTGCTGAAAAGTATTCCTGATGGCAAAAGTGGTTAGATGCATTGGTTTTGCACTACGGTGTGAAAACGGAGTCCCATTATCCGAGCAAGTCAGACTCTACATTAATGTGTCATTATAACCATTATGTTCACTACTGCACTTCAGTTCATCTGATTTTGATAAATACCATATAGAAGCAATTATTCTATGCTACACACTTCCCTACCCAGTAAACACTATCAACTATGGAAACTACTGCCTTTTCTCTGTATCTCAACAGACTAGCACTTAGCTCCCTGTTTTTCCTTCTGGCCAGCTGAATCAAATCAGTTGAAAGTGTGTTACTAACACTGGCTTGGAAAGCCAGTGGAAAATCCCTGTCACTTTGTAGCTAAAGAAGATTCAAAACAAGAGGAATTATGTGCAATGTGTTATTAGTAAAAGTAAAGGGTAGCCACCACTGACAAATAGGAAAACATTGTATTGTATTGTTATTGTTGCATAACTCACACGTGTGGAGACCTACCTCCTCCAACTGGTTTGTCCAATGGTACATCTTCTTGTGTCAAATTCAAAAGCTCATGCCTGAAAGATTTAAGATACATGCTTCAACAGTGACATACACTTTGATAAACCAGAAGTTACAGTCTACAGGTACAGCCTCAAGTTACCACTGAAGAATCAGAAAAAAAAGCAAGAGGGGACATCACGATCCTCAACATTAAATTCCAATTAACACCCAAGTATTATAAGAGCTTGTTGGAACCCTACAGACAAAATCATTTTTCAGGCCTGACACCCATACCCACCTGTGCCATAACATTTCATGGTAACATACAGATTACAGCAAAATTATGACTGAGGTCTAAGATGCTCTTCATCAGAAACAAAGATCCAAATAAAAAATTTAACCTTTAAAAATGAAAATCTCAAAGCAGACATTTGTGTTTCCCAAATAAATCCAGTTTTATCCATAACAGAACAACAAAAAAATGGAAAATTCTGACATTTCTCACAGAGCTGAACTGGTTTTTGAGCTGCTCTGATTACCACACATTACAAAACTGATGAACAGCATCAATTAATTACTGTTAACAACTGAGGCAAATTTGACAAGAGCAGGTGCCAGCATTGCCTAAATGTTAAAATCTATGCATAGTGTCTGATTTTAAGTGAGACAAAAGACAGATCCACACTTTTTCCTCTGTTCTGGTTACCTGCAAGCATTAAGATGACAGAAACTGAACATTTACCTGTCAAATCTGAGAAACTAGCATTCATGACAAAGGCAGCACGCAGAGAGGCACAGGCTGCCACTACCACTGATTCCGAGCCTGACCACCGCCATCAGCAGATTCCTGTCCACTTCAAAAGCTCTTGGATTAGGCCCTACACCACTGAACAATTGTAAAACATCAGCTGTTACTCGCAGAGGCTTTGTTTAAACTGCAAATGCCCATCTGTGGTGTGAAACATCACATCATCTGCCTGAAGTGAAGCTCCAAACGATGAAAGGTGAATATGCACCCACTACCAAAGCTGTGTATCCCTCTGCCACAGCCGCATCCGCACTGCTGCTTCCCGGATTGCTCAGCAGCTCTGAGATCCAGCCCTCGGCAGCTCTCCCTGCATATCCTGAATTTAGGCTTAGTCCAGGCTGCCTTCCAATCCCACGTGCCTTTGCAGAAAGTAATGTCTGGGTTCTTCTAGGAAAGACACCAAGAAAAGAAAGGAGAAAATGGGAAAGAAAGGAGCCCAGAACATCACACGAGTCTCGTGCTCCCCTTTAAGGGCAGCGTTACCCTGCCAGGCTAGCTACAGCAGGCAGCTGAGCCCTCAAGCAGTTTCTATGTACATCCCTTCATGTACACTACCTGATCTACCTCCAGACACAGCAAGGACAGGCATCCAACTAAATCACAGGAACCAGTAGCTATATCAGCCTCAAGCCTGCCCTGGGCAACCCTATATACAGATACAGTCATAGACACCATGGTACAGCATTCCAAGAAGAAAAAAATGAAAGCACAAGCTGAAATTGAGGCCAGGATCCTCAGATAGAATAAAATATCCCCAAGTCAGTGGCTTTCAATGTGTATTACAGTCACAGAGATTAAAACAGTCCAAAGAGATCTGCCCATGACAGCAAGTCCACAACACTGAAGAGATCTGTCCAGATGCCAGCCACCGCTGTGGCGCTCTGGTGATCCGACGAGCTGGATTTATCAAAGTGATCATCAACTAAGAATTACACATCAGACTGCAAAAGAGCATGTCGGTAGAAATCACTCTGGAAGTTACTGAAGATAACATGAAGCAGAGTGAAGCAAGCAGAAAGCAGTGAGTACTACAGGGACAAACATGCAAGATTCCTTACTTTTTAATCACAAACCGGATCCGCTCTTTTGCTAGAAGTATCCTCTCAAGACGGGGAATCCCATACGTGGATGGCCTCCTGAAGGGAATTCCTTCTGGCAGCCCTTCCACATATAAGTCTTCCACATGTGACTGGAAGAGTGGGTATGGGATAGACACTGGACCTTTTGCTTTTATAGCTTGAGCTTTAAGAAAAAAGAGAATAAAACCATAAGACTAGCTTGTGGCTCTACTCAATTACCTCTCTGATATCGTTCTGAAAAACATTAAAATTAGCAGACAGGCAATAACCCCCTCAGCACATTTTCATAACTAGGGTGGTGGTGGTGATTTTGTTTTACAGCAAAATCACTAATTCACAGTAAACAAGCTGCAGACCTGCAAACATATGCAGATTCTCCTTCCCCCCCCTTACTCTGTAAACATTTAATAACAGAGACTGCACCTGTTACAGTGAAGTTTCACAGTATTTTGGTTTTGTTTAATAGTACATTTTGAAAGATGAAATTATCTAGACTTAATTATAAACCAAGCATGTTTCAGTTCATTAGCTCTGATTATTATTATTTGTTACTACTATTTGCTTACAGGTCGTTAATGCCTGGGAGGAGGGGCACAGATCCCTTTCGAGTGAACTCCTAAGTCTTCAGCATATTTTAAAAAATCCAAGGAATCACTAATGAAATAAACAATACACTTCTAACACCGTCAAAAAAAGCATGGCCCTACTAATGAAATCTTTGAAGCAAACAAAAAGCAAATAACAGACTCACCCAGAGCTGGAAAATAACCTCAGTGTATTTCTTTAAGTTATGAGTACCACAATCACATCAATACATCTGTCAGGCTGGCTAATACTGGAGAATGGCAGGATGGTTTGCAAATACCAAGAGAGCTGATTTCTTTATGCTCACAAGGGCACGTTAATTTTGTAGGCCATGCAACAAGAATTCTCTATTACCATCTGACTGGTCTGCAAATAGTTTGGTACATTCTGTTGTTTTGCTACAGAAATTAGATGCAAAGAATTATTTGAGGAGAGACAGGACAAGCTCAGGCCAAAAGAGAGCACAGTGATGTTGTGGCAGCGTTTCTGAAAGCAACGCTACTCGGGCCACCTTTACAAGCACCTTAACATAAGGTGAAAGCAGCCTGTGGTTCACACATCAGTGTGTACTAAATGCTCACATTAACTCACACATTCTTGAAAGCAATAAACCAATTTAGGTTTTTAAGACATTTAGTTAACATACTCTTTCAACCACTTGGAAGCAGAACAGTTCTAGGTATGTTTCGCACGAAGCTTCGAAAACACTGTATGTATCATAGTCTCCTATTCTGATGAGAAATGAGTATGAGTTGTAGAAGACTGTGAGAAGAACTGCATTTCAACTAGATCTGGTTTCAACTGCCAAATATAAGATGGCCAAAACTGGAGACAGAGAACAGGTAAGTACGGAGAGGGAAACCAACCTGAAGATGACTCCTAGCAAATAAAGAAGCCCTATTCAAACCTGTGTCAAAGGAGCTGCAGAACAACCACCAAAAGGGCTGCTGTGCATCACACCAGTCCTACATTAAAGCAGATTTTTATTGCAGTCATATACCTCTTCCAAGAAATTTTAAAAAATTATTCTCAGCCCCAGAGGCTGTTGTGGCAAGTGGTGAAAAGCGTAACGAATCCAGCAGACAAGCCTCTGATGGAAACGAGCCGTTGTGAAGCACAGTCAGCCGCAGGAAAAAAGATCAAGAACATCACTAATATCTAGATCACTGCACAGCATCGAGTAAGAACAGCATCAGAGTAACAGGAATCCTGCTTGTTTAAATACCTAAACCAGGTAAGCTTCTACAGCCGAGAGTTTGTATTTCTCTTAAATCAGCAAATGTTTTAGGAAATGCTCTTCAGACACCAAAGAACACAATTAGCATTGCAGTTTGCAGCGAGGCATCTTAGATTCAGAACCTTACACGTTTTGCACAGAAATCCTATTGAATATAGGTTTCATTTTCATAAATTAGCCTGTGAGCTACTATCCTGTATTTACACTAAAAAGTAATGCCATTTAGTTTACATCTAAACACAAAAATAAATATATACAGTGTCAGTTGTAATGGATGACAATGACTGACATCGCTAAAACACTTTGGAGCTACAGAAGCCAACAAATCTGAGAAGCATTCTGGGAATTGTGGACATCCATAACTCATTTCAGTAAATGGGAAATTGCATGCCCATACAGATAGAAAGAATTGGAATCTGCTATGGAATTGGTTTGTGACTCAATTAAATACTGTCATCCACAGAGAAAAAAGGGGATAATTTAATACCATATGGCCTGCTATGGAAAATCAAGAATATTCAACAGACTCCACAGGAGATTTTTAGGCTGGCTATGTGCAAACACCAAAATCAAAATTAAAGCAATTCACCAAGAATTATCCTCCTTTCTCAAGCAATCAAAATACTGTGAATCACATTCTGAACTGTTTTTACTTGGTGTTGTGTTGCTTCCAGTGGGCTGTTTACAAGTCAGATGATAAGTCACACCCACGGCATGTAACAGCTCCAAATCACAAGGGCCATTCCGAAAGCACTTCCACTTCCCATGGCAGAGGAGCACCACCTTTACTTTTAAATTTTTGCTGATACTTTTTTAGTCTGTGATATGTGGACACAAAATATGTCTAGGTGCAGCATCTGGAGACAAATTCCAAAGTGTAACATGCGTGCTTCTTTTTCTCTCCAAGAATCATGAACATATAATTGTTGCTTCACTGTAAATCAATCATCATCAGACAGAAACAATCAGTCAGTGGTAGCCTCTCCCCAGAGCCATTTCAAGAGATCATTTCACGTAAGGCCTCAGTGTAATTACAGAGAAAAGGCCAGCTCCCTCAACTGTGGGTGCCCAAGACACCAGCACACTGGAACTCCAGGAGACTGAGCACAACTGAAAAATAAAATCAAGTTTCACACTTAGGTGCCAAACACAGGCACCCAATTTTGAAATTACCCTGCTTGTCAAAAAGCTACTTTCCCCAATTTTAAGTCTTGTAACAATATTTAACCCCTTTGGTGCTGTCAAGTACTGGTGCGGTCCTGAGCCAACAAGACACATGCCGAAGCGCTGTGATTTAGGGTGTCAAATGACGAGAGGCAATTGTTTGGAAACAAGGGTAACACATACCGTATTTTTTTTCAAACAGCTCTTCAACCTGCTTTCTCAGGTCTGTAATTCGCGCATTCCATTTCTCTGAAAAGAAAAGAGGAGGACACGTCAGACTGCAAACGGAACGGAGGACCGCTTGTAAAACCTCTTACTGCTAACGGCACTACGCTCCCTCGCGTACAGGTGCCTGTGGAGTACGGTATAGGCTACACCTGAAAACAGGTGGATGCGTTCAGAAAGAAAAAGGATGGAATAAAATGTTTAAGATTACCTCCAAAACTTGTGCAGATGTTAAAACAAGTTTAAAAACCTCATGCACCAGGCTTATGTAACTTCCAAAACCGGTCTCTCTTTGATGGCTCGGTCAGCAGCTCTCACTACACATCAGGGGTAAAGTCAATTTGCAGCCACTGCTGATCGTTATCTAAATCTGGGCGCTGAAAAGCTTAATTAGTGAAGCTTGATAAAGCTTACAGCAAGTACATGAAGTTGTTTTGGTGCAAATCTGTACAACTATCTGGGTCAGGCAGCATTGTGCCATCCTCTACCTTAATCCAGTATTTCTCCAAGTCCTGATGTTGCAAAACATCCCCATAAATCCTATTTCTGAAAGAAGATACAGGCTGCAAAACAGAAGTTATCCAAATCTAATCGTGTGTTCCATGGAGAGCTGGATTAAACGGCAGAATTTTAACATCTAATTTTCTGCCTGTGACAGAAAGCACACGTTTTCACAGCTTTTTGTACTATCTCGATGCTTTTAGGAAAATGCCACGACTCTTTTGTAGATGGTACCAGATGCTGGCTGGCCTTTTAAGAACGAGTTAATAAGCAAGTGTACTTACAGCTTATTTCTTACACCAAAGACTTGAATCTAGTAACTACAGAGGTCAAAAAATGAGGCCATTCATGCTATTACACTTCCAGTTGTCAAGAAATTCTTACATCAGACAAGGCAGAGGATTGAATTTTGAGTCCATATCGAAAGGGGTTTAAATATTCATTCTCAGACCAATGTACACAACTTTGGTGGTCATGCTCAAACTTCTATTTTTTTTAATGTAATTTCATGGATATCAAGAGGACAGCATGCTTCAGATGTGGGCAAGAATAAGACCTTGTTTAGAGGGGAAAGGGTGTTTTGGCATGCTGCCTTGCATCCACACATAAACCCTTTGTTCTAATTACCTGGCACATCACCTACACCAATTAATCTGTTTATATTCTGAAACAACATCTTTGTGGATAAATATATATAATTGTTCTTCCACCCTTTTTACTGCTATCCTGCAGTGCACAGCTTCTTAGCTGATAAATGTGTCTTGAGCTCAGTGTTTTTGACTTCATCTTGTAATGCTTCCCCCTTTAACGGCAGAGGTGCAGCCAAACGGAGCTGTTTGATTCCAGCACAATCACTGGCTGCATTTTTTGCTGACCTACAGAACAATGGATTAACAGCAGCTTTACTAGTAAAAGTCAGGAAAATAAGAGTCAGAATTTACTGGCCTCAAGGGGAAGCCCCACATTACTCAACACAACTGGCGAAGACACATGGACACTCCTAGAACAAAGGTTTGGAAAGGCACCTGTGTGACTCCAAATTGTAACCCAGAGGCAACTGTCAGAGAGTCGAGGTCCCCTCAGTTCACCAAGCTCTGGGGCAGACTCAGCAAACTACCTCCTCTAAAGCTCAGGTCGGTTTTCATCAGAGGGAGAACAGCCAGAAGGAATGTCACACCATACTACAAAGCCACCATATGAAAGCATATAAATAATACTGTTCTGAATACTGGTTGTTGCTGCAATTTTGGAGAAGCTGCTCCCACCCAGCCAGGTCTCCTTCTGCTTGTCAGCATGCTCACCAGAGCGTTCCTACACGAACCATTACATTGTCAAGGCTCCGTTTGTCTCAGTTACCCAGCCCCACGATCACTGGCCAAACACTCCACCTGGCTCTTTTCAAGCAACTACTGCTGTGCCCCTCTGCCTCCAGTGGAAACACTGCAGGGACTAATAATCAAATACACTGCAAGACAGGCATTTTTACTTGGAATGGTGGATACACAGAAAATAGGCAATTGAAAAAAATAAAAATCATGAACTGGCTCACCTGAGTTTTTTTAGCTACTTTCGTATCTTACGAGTAAATTGCCAAGTTAAGCTACAAAGACATATCAAATTTCAGAGGGATTATCTAGTAATCGGCATGATTTTTAATCAGCCAGCATTATTAACCCCTTGGATTCAGGTCAATTCCTATAAAAACATTCTTTTGTCACACATTTCACGCTCATGTAGCAAAGTTGAAAACCTACCACTAAGCTGATACTCTGTTTTGGTAATCACCCTCTGCAAAGCAGTTTAGTTTTCCCATAGGCACCAAGAAAAGTGGTAGTTTCCTTTTATTCCTACATATACATTTCCTGATAAATAAATTCTGATAACCTCCGTTTATTCCCTTTAACACTGCTGGCCTGCTAATCTTAAGACGCTGTGTTCTACCAAGGGAACATTCCAGCAAAAGCTCCTCACTAGCAACTGCTCTACCCTCTCCTCTACTCACGCTGCCATTTTGGTCTCCTGACCCAACCAGAACTAACTAACACTACATGTGGAACGGCCTATTAGTATTAATGATCTTTTAAGAACAGAGCTCTCAATGATGTTTTACTCATTTTCGCTGAAATTAGCATGAAATAACATGTTTTACACAAAACAGATGTCAGAAGAGGTTCCATAGGGATTTTTCAATTGACCTCGAATTCCAGCATTCCTAATAAACACCTCGAACACGGTGCCAAGGGACATATTCCTCAGCGTGCAAACCTTACAGAAGTACACAGATCAATAGGATATCTGCGCAGAAACCAAATCAAAACAAGAAATAAAGGAGAAGTACAGGGCTGCAACAAATCACATGGGCAGTATCTTTAACCACAGTAACTACGGTGTGTATTACTGCAGCGAGAACTCTGCAGAAGACAGCATGGAAGAACACTACTAAAAGACCCAGATTGTGTGTCCACTGGGATCAAGGCAGGATACTCAGCGTAAGAGCCATTTGGTTCCCTTCCCAACGTGGCTCTTGTCAGCACATCTTCATTGTTCACAGCACGCATCAAGAAAAGACCGGCCAGACAGGCTCCTGACCTGCGGTTTGCCACAATTCAGTACACTAGTGAATTCAGTCTTATCTTCTTGTCCAAGAAATTAGCTGACAAAAATCTAGACTGATTTTTATTTTATTAAGTTGCTTGCAGGGTCTATTTAGATGGTTGCTTTGAAGAATGACGAACAACAGAGGCAGCCTATGATGATGACTGTACTGCTGCAATACATCTACAAAGAGCCCTGGGCTCTTAAACGCATGCTCGCACCGGCGTGTCTCACTGCAGTGTGAAATCATCCAATACCTATTTATAAACCAAAGCAGAGAGACAAAATAATCTTCATCTTACCAAAATTGAACTCTCTCACTTTTCTTCTCCCAGTACTGGCAACTTCATTAGTTGACTCTGTGTTCTTCGGTCTCTTGTTAGGGGGCAAGTAGTCGTCATCCTCTTAAAGAAACATAAAGATATCACTGTTTTAATGTCCAGAGATCTCAATGTGCAGCACTGCACGGCTTTGAATTTCAAAGCTCTAATGCAAGCATTGAACTGTGCTTTAGCAGGGCATCAAATTTTGCAATGAATTACTTAACTGAATAACTTTAGACAGCTACTACCCTATGTAGGAACAATTTGTGTAAGAGAGACAGCACAAGGCACAAGATGGCAAAAAACAAAGCTGCTTCTGTATTTCCTAAGGAAAACAATACTGTGTTCAGAAACATGACTGGACACATGATCATAAAATGACCACACACCAACAAAAGAAAACAGGAAATAAATTGTGCAGACATAGGCTACATTTTTTATTAACTGGAAATACCCTTCCACTACAAAGTCTTGAAATACAGTCCCTAAGTTATCTTCAAGAGCTCAAAGGTGCCAAAACCTGTTTCAAAGCAATGTAAAACTGATGGATGTAACTGAAATTCATTTAACAGGCCAGTCTGACCTCAAACACACACAGACAGAGGGGGAAAACTGCAAACCCCACGTATTTTTCAGTCAGCTGCTACTTAGCCAGTCACCTCCCATTCCAAGACACGACCTTCCCTACCAGTTAATGAGTTATTAAGACTGTCCAATTACCAACCGGAAACCGTAGAGAAAAGGAATTGTTCAAGCAGACAAATTCAATGTCACATACAGGATAGCATTTGCCCAGGTGACCAATGGTATAGTCTACTTAGGAAGAATAGTATTACTTTTTTGTTGTTGTTGGGGTTTTTTTGGTGGGGTTTTTTTTTTTTTTTTTAACATAAAAATGCCCAAGGGACTGAAATTAATGAACTGGAGAACTAACCTTCGATGGTGACCTCGACCTCAGGATCCTCACTTGTTTCTGAAGGGGCAGGCTGGGAGGAATCTGAAGGGGGAAAAACAGGACTGCTGAATGATGGGCATAGAGAAGAGTTTGAACCAAACACTCTCTGATTTTGTATTTAAACTAACACATGTCAAAGCAGCCCCCTGGCTCACTGAAACGTTTTGCATTCACAGCAGGCAACAAAAACAGTAGCAAAGGTATTTTACCATAAGCCTTTAAGCAATTCTAGACAAGGGTAAGGAGGTGAGGATTATACTTGCTAAATTGCATGTGCAGCAGTGCAGAGTTGGTGTTAATGACAGTAGGAAATTCCTTATTCTTGGCTTAATAGGATTAATACAATCATAAATATTTTTTCCTTTCTTATCAAGGATTACTGAAAATATAAACAAAGGCTGTGTGCCCCCACAGATGATATATTTCTTAACCATTTATACAGACTCAGAGTTGTTGCACTATAAGGATTTCCATAGCAGGCTGCAAGGTCTACAGTGAAAAATGAGAGGGAAATTCATAACCACAATGCTTTCGTTGGGGGGGTCTGCACAAACATAAGAAATAGGATTAGGTCTATCAATACTCAGTGGGAGAAAGAGCAATTTGCATTTAACTGCAGTAAAGTTCAAATAAGTGAAGCTAATTATATTGGAAACTATTCCAAAACTAAGCAGCAGCGTATGAAGGAATATATTTTTATTATTCTGGCAGAGAAATGCTGCACTTGTACGTTTTTGAAGAGCATCTTCTTTCAGGTCTCTGTAAGCTGGAAGCATAGTATCACTTTGGGAGCAGGTCTGAAGGAATCTCATTTGAAATGATGTTCTGTATCGTAGATATTCAGCAGTGTCTACTGAGACACCTTCACTGGAGCGTACTCAAACTATGTCAAATATATCATGTGTTCATGGAAAACACAGTATGATGTTTTGATCTAACACAGAGTGAGTGCTGGACAGGTAACTAGCAAATGCAAAGCACATAAAAGGGCAAGAATTAGGAGGTAATGGTCTTTACTAGACATCAGCATAAAGTATGGTCATAAAATAACTCAAGTATGGTCAATAAAAATAATCACATCAACTGATCACTTAGAACCATTTTTGAGAGCATCAGAAAAGTTTAAAAAGAGAAATACTCTTTTTGGAAATTTAACAGCAGCCACAAAAGACTGACACATGGTCCATCTAGTTCAGTACCAAAGCTCTAAGAAATAGTCATAATTAAGAGAAACATGCAAAAAAATCAAAGCAGGTGGTAACAAAGTTCTGGAAGAAAAGTCACAGATGGGACATTTCTTCTTAATTAAAACAACCGATTTAAACACTAAAACAATTTTTTTTAAGCAAAGTATTATCATCACACAGCTCCTGAGCAGCAGCCCTCTTCGCAAGTTCTAAATGCTGTCATTCACTGGCGCTGTCTCCAGTTTCTCAAACGTGATTTCATTCATATTAAAACAATTTCTTTAGATGCACATAACCTTAACTTTCTGATGGCTGAACTTCAACCACACCATGCTCCCCACTACACTAATATACACTAAAGTCTTCATAAAATCCCCAAACTGTCATCCATTTTTCTTTCTTACTTATCTTTGTGAGGACCAGCAATAAATAATTTTATTTTACAGAATCCAGAGAAGACTGCCTACCCTTCATGCCTACTTAAAGAACAAAATTGAAATTAGACTGTTACCTGCAATTTTTAATCACTGCCTGTAGACCTTTTCATAAATACTAACCTGCACAAACAAGAGGTTTATACTCTTCAGCAAAAGCAGGGTGCATCTCTCATAGAAATTTATAAATGAGAACAGATTTGGGAAAAGGGTGTGCAGCAAAACCATGTTCTGACACAAAGGACCACACAGCATCTGCAGCTATAAAATTCTACGTAGTCAAAACCAAAGCAAAGTCAAAGTTTCAGTCATTTTGTATCACACTTCCCTTTCCTCAGGCTCTGTCTTCGGAGTCAGGTATAAAGCTCATGGCATTCTGCATAAGAAAACAAAGTACCTACACTATTTCTTCTCAAGTAAGTAGAGTTAATAGTGAAGTCAGCAAGAGCAAATAACTTTATCCTCCTTTATCAAGATAAATGCTTTTAAATTTCATTTAACAGTACCCTTAACGATTGTGATACTTTCAAAGCAAAACTAATGGGATTTGCAAGAATGAGTATTTCTGCTAGCATAACTTGGCCTTCACAGCCAAAAAATACTCACGACTCGGGTTTGAGTCAGGTGCTTCAAATGAAACTAGCTGCAGAAGGATGCACACTTGACATCATGTCAAAGCATTAAATGGTGGGTGACAAGCACCTTGCAAATGCAATGTACGATTTAAAAGAATGAGGACACCCAGCACAACTTGCTTATAGTAAGCCACAGAGTGGCATGACTTGGGAGATTAAAGCAAAACAAAAAAACCCCAAAAGCCAAACTTGTGGAAATGTGGAAAGAGAATGGTTGGAGAAGATGTACAACTTCAGTTAAGGTGCCATCTTTTCAAATACTTATGTAAAAAAAGATTCCAGTGATGTTAAATTAATCTCATGAAAAATGTTTCATATCTCTAACCTTCTACCGGTATTTCCACATCTCTTCCTCCACTGCAATCGGAACCCTGGAGGCTTCCTTTAGACAAATATAAAGTAAAAAACATACCATAATAAAAATACAAAAGGAACTTTTAACATCAACTACTCAAAGCAAGGATTTTTGTGAGCGGAAAATCCAGCACTGTAATGTTCACATGGACGACATAGAGAAGGCCCAATTTCTGAATCCTAAATTCCTGACAGCAGGAGCACTCTGATGTTATAAAGAAACCCACAGGTTTAAATGCAGATTAGCATTTTCTAGTGTTTGCAAGTGGGCAAACCAGTATTTTTAACCGACTGTAAAAAGCTGAAGAAAAATGTACAATTTTAGGAGTAAATTTATTTCAGTTACTGCTCAGATACAGTAAGGAACTCCTTCCACTAAACACCTACTTCCCATATACTTTGTTCTGTATATACCCATCCACCTCACACACCTGAAGAAATATATTATGATTATAACGTGATCATTTCTGAGAAGTTTATTAAACTTTATAACCAATTATGAAACAGACTACATTTCATGAGAAACATATCAACTTGCACAAATTACTAGTGCTTTAGAGATCAACCTGATGTTCCTGTTCAAATTTAGAAAATAAAGAAGTAAGATTTCCCTTCTATATGTCTCTCTGCTTAGATACCTGAAAATTAAGGCAATCAGAACTTCAACAGAAATGAAACTTGCAATACCCCAACTCTTACTTCAAATCAAGGAAGCAGAGCCTTGAAAAAGTAACACTCACACATTCAATTTCCAAAACAGACATAAGAAAAATACAACTCAAAGATCTACCTGTGTAACTTTTTGCAAGAGCAATTTTTTCATCCATCTCTGATGTTTCGGAAGGGCCTGCTTGGGAACAAAGAGAACGGCTTTTAAATTGTGTCTCAGCACATTTTCCCAGTCTATAGAGAAATTTGCCAAGTAACTCTTAACTTCCTATCTCATACGCTCATTTCATACTTTCTGAAACACCGAACTTAGGAAAGACCCTGTGAAGTATTAAGAATATATGAATCCTTACTCCTCTAGTTTAACAGACTAAAAATGTTGAGAGGCTAATGGCAGGGCTGTACATTTCTTGGACTACTGAACAGTCAGACACTCATGCAGAACAGCAGGTTTTCAATTTTTTGGTATTAATAAACTCATTTTAAAACATGAAATGTTGATGGATCTGCCTTTTTTCAATGAATCAGCTAGATCATTTTCCCGTTTCTTAAAATTTGTATTCCTAGGGAGTCCTTTCTGACTTTAAAATTTCTACCTACATTAAATAGACAAATTCAGAGAGATTAAAACAATTTACGACACTTCAAGGTTGTTTGCTTTTCATCACAACAGCTCTTTTGATGGCTATATACGGAACAGCTTTAAAAAAGCTGCCGCAGAAAGCAGCACACAAACGACACTTAAAATATTAAATTAACACCCCTAAAATCCTACTGCTTAATGCTTTGGCACTCCCGCAGTTAGACTGAAAGAGTGAAGTGCTTACAGCAGAAATGGCTTCCCACTGAGCAAGAGATGATTCTATACCACAGAAAGAGCATAGGTATATTAAAGTAGTGTACGTGTGGCAGAAGAGAATGGGTAGGACGAACTGGAACTGAAGGATTTGGACTAATGGTTCTGCATAAATCAAATCATTGCTGTGTTCATTTGCAAAAGCAATCTGTAGGAGATCATACACCTCCCCAGAAATCACGGCCATTTAGAGGCAGGTTTAAAAGTGTATCAACAACGAATAGTAATAGCTTCACAACAGAAATAGCTACTGTTAAATAATAAGGCAAGTGAAATATTTTAAACTCATCATTTCATACACACAGTAAACAAGAAAAGCTAGAAAAGACTTGTCGCAATCAGAATTAATCAGTATTTCAGTCAACTGGAAGTACATATACTGTATCCAATACTGTGAGTTATTAAAGAAAATTAATATTTAGGGATTCAGTTTTTAAAAGAAAAACATGAATTGTGGTTACAATTATCACTGGTTGCGACAGTTCTGCCTAATTTGATTGCACAGATTTTCAAAGGGTTTTCAATTACCAGACTTTCAAGTGCAGAAGCTACAGAAGGTTCTTTGGTTTACAGGCATTTCTTTCAGAAAGTGCTGCTTTAACCCGCTCCTGACACCATTTCTTTGCAGGGGGGGAAGGGTGTTTTCCTATTTGCCTGTTCAACTCAGGGGAGCTCCCTGATTTGGCTCGAAACGCGGCTCCAGAAAGAGCGGCACTGGCACGGCCGAGGCCAAAGCCCAAAGATGGGGAAAAGCGTGGGGAGGAAGAGGAGCAGGGCAGAAGGCTGAGACACAGGGGATGCTCTAGGCCGCAGGGGAAGAATTCCTCATCCAAACACGGCGATTTGCAGCTGCTGGGGATGAGTGGGAATAGAACGCAGCCTCCCCGGCTGTGTGCCGGGAAACGTCACTGTGGACTAAATTTGCTTTTGTTTAAATAAGCACATTCAGCGTATGCAGCCAGACGGGAGTGCCATTTCCTAAAAACTCTTCTGAACGTGCAATTATTGTAATTCATAACACACTGACACACAGAAGCATGCATCCCATTATAAGAAAATAACCTATTATAAGCACACATTTTTGTGTTTATTCCTTAATTCAGAAATCCTGACAGGATTGTTTTACCTACATATTCTGCAATAGTCTCTCTACTGCATTATCTTCATGCCAAATACATGCTGTGACACAAGTAGAAAAAGGAAAAATACGAGTCTGACATGTTCAGACTTGAAAGATTCCTCAGGTTAAGAGATACACTCACTAGGCTTGCAGCCCCTGGACTACGCACAGCGAATTCAATCCCCTCATTTTTAATGTCAATAAAAACTACAGTGCATGTAGTAAATCCATCAGATTTTCTGAGTGACCCACACTGTTTTTATGAAACTTAAAGCTTTCTTTTTTTTCATATGAAGCCTTGACAGGAAAAAACAGTATGAAAAAATTGCTTCAGAGACTAGAGTGTAAAACAATATATTCTGCTAGCTTAATTTAGTAAAGACTAGAGAAAGAAATTTAAAAGAATTCTGAAAGCTCTACCTCCAGGAGATATATAAAAATGCAGATACATTTCCACCTTACTGCATTCGTGCACAATACGGACAGATATATACACTTCACGTTACTAAGAAAAGCAAACACCAAGCACAGTGCTAAATCTGTTTACTTACACCCAGTTCAAATCCCTCAGCCTCTAATGGATTATGTCCTACCACTACAAAGCCAAACCTGTGCCACTTGGCAGGGAATGGATTTATCATCTCACAGATCAGCGATGCTCTTTGTTTTGGTCATTTTTTCGCTACCCAGATGGCAGCAGTGTGAGCAATATGTAATTACCAGGGTAATATCAGGACGCCTTTAGGAAGCACAACATCAAGCTTTGTTTTCTCAATACATTCTCTGGAATTCCTTGGTTTAGTATCTACATGCCAAGTCTTACATTATGGAGGTTAGTATATTGCCAGCCTAGCTTTACAGTTTTATGCACATTAAAATGGACATTATTTCTAGTACTCTGGGAGATCTCCAAAGGAGAAATATTTTGTTGTCAGAGACACATTAAAAGATGTTAATGACTTTCAACGTTCCAGAGTGAAAATAAAAGCACAGTTTACTTTCCCATTCTGGCTTTTTTTCCAGCAGATGATATTTTCAATTTCGTTTGGTTTTGGATGAGTGTTCTATATTGTAACTGCCTCACTTTAACATTCTAGAAATTCCAAAACTGATGGCACTGTTCAACCACATGGTGCTTTAAAAGGAAAGATGTTTGGCAGTTGTTTACTCACTCCCTAAGTGGTTTATAAGCTAAACCAGTCAGTTCATTAGACAGTGGTTTATAAGCTGAACCAGCCAGTTCACAAGACACATTGTTTACAGCCTTTTCCTTCTGCTTCCAGTTCCCTTTGTTTTAACTACAAAGCGTCAGCGGTAACTGAAGACGAGCAGCCACAGAATTCATGGGATAACATGTCTCTTTCAGGAAATGTTTGGTCCTTCATCAGCAAATTACTCAGTTCTGCATGAGCTAGGTGTCCAAAAAGCCTTGTTGAACTCTGTGCAGAAGAAGACTGAAGATGGTACATGTCCCCAAGGAATTTTCTTAATGTATTCCTGCTTCTTTATGAATTGGGAAAAAACCAAATATGTATAGATCTTAATCCCACTCTTAATTGATTCAGAGTTGTTCTCACTCTGGTATTCATGAAAAGTCAGCCTGGGTGTTGTGGACAGCATTCTACTAAGAAGCCAAGATGCATGTGTTACTGGTCAGTACATTTACACATCAGTTAAACAGTCTCCTGGCTGCAAAGAAGCTGGTATAGAAGCTAGGAGAATTTACAGGCACAGAGATGTATTTGCATTAATATAGTACAGAGCACACACCCTCCTACTTGGGTTTAAGATCAGGCCTTGCATACACCCAGCTGGTCTGGAGCTCTGGCAGAAATGAATGTCAGTCCCTCTGCAACAGCCATGGAAACAGATCTATTCCCACAGCACAGTAATATGCTTAATCTAAGAGTACAAACCACATTTCAACCACTAAAGTAAGAAACAGCATTTTAACTGATGATTCTTTACATGAGAGCCATAATAATTGGTACTTGTAGATAAGGTATATGCAGGAATATTAACTATGCTGTAGGAATGCTCCCGTGTGCATTATTTAGTCCTGCAGATCTGCGTTCAGTCCTTTTCCTCATATACTCAACAAATCTGGACCTTCTTTCAGAACAGGTTGTCTTTGGTGTCACCCAAAGCATTTAACACTGCAGGGACCTTCACATTTGTCTAAGACAGGATTTGTCTGGGCATACTGCTGGTGCCCACTGATGGAAAATCCCCCCTAATAATCTGTCAAAACAGCAAGTGTAGTTTCTGATGGCTAAAGTCCCTATCTCCCAGACATCTTACTGTGTACTGCTAAAACATTTCCAAATGTTGTAATTCAGTATTAACTCATAGTAACATCCAAATGCTGCCACCTACTACAAGATACTAAGAGATGAACAGGACATTGACCTACAAGTGTAAATTTTCCCTCATCTGATGAAGGGGAGAATTTTGTGAGCCACTGAGGCACACAGTGCTTTGGCCAGCATTACAGATTTGTGAGAGGAAGCCAACACTCAGAAAAAACAGTACGGTGAAATTTCACCAGTAAATCATTTTCTCCAGAAGCCTCAGGCACACTGCTGTTCTCTAACAGTTGTTTCTTCTCATAAATCGATAAGGCCGGCTTTGACTGTAGGGTATTTTTAGCAAGAACTATGACCCCAGCCATTTTCTTCATTCTGCAGCATGTCTCTACAGAGGCAGCATGACTTGTTACGGTGACATCTCTTAGCTCACAGCACCCCATCCCTTCTGCCAGTATAGCCGTTTTAAACGCAAGTTTGGAGGACTACACTGTGAGTGGGGAAAGGGAGTTATTAATCAAGAACCATTTTATCTGAAAGAGATACATACTGCACTTCACCAATGAGACTTCAATTTAGAGTTCTGTAAAAGACAAGAGAAATTCCCCCCCCAAATCCACATTGCTTAGACTTTTCTACCGAAGCACTCAGTATTGTATAAACGGGGAGGTTTAGCTCAAACACACTGCAGCACCATGGGTTACTATTTTGTAAGGAAGTGATTTCAGTACAGACCCTTGTCAAACAGTACTGGATTACACTGTGGGCTACTGGCCAAATTCTGACATTGTTTTTATCCATGAAATGCGAAGCCAGAAGGGGCTGAAAACCAGAGAGATGGCAGGAGTTGACTTTCGAAGGAATAGTGATTAGGTTGTCTCAAAAAAAGTATCTATTTTTACTGCATTATATCATGCCTATAAAGCTCTCCTTCCCCTCGGCTAGGCAATGCACAAATATGAAGAAAAGATAATCCTGATACGAGAGAATCCACCTTTCAAATTGTGTACTGGAGGGGTGACATTTTGCTACGCCATACGGTTAAGATCTCTCTGAACAGTGCTCGTGTATTACCGGAGATGTGCTGGGATGAGAATATTGATTCCACAACCCTGCAGCCAGGTATTGAAGCACAACAGAAAATAGGCTCAAGAATCTTAGTGTCTAAACACGCACAAAAACGTTCTCAATAATGTATAATATTATAACGTGAAAAGATGTGCTGTTTTACTCTTCACTGTTGAACACACAGCTATCCTTCAGAGATGTGTGGCAGCTTGCCTGTTCCTTTGTATTGCTCAATTAACCTAATGACAAATGCCAACAGGCTGAAATAAAAAAAATTAGGGTTCTAGTTATTTTATATAGTCATTTATAATCGTGACTTTTTAATTAGCGTTCATTTCAACCTACAGAACTCGATTTCTTTTCTTCACTCCCAGCTGACATTAACCTGCAGTATTAACCAGACACATAGGAGGTAAGGCAAAGCGACTGAGAGATACCTTAAAACATACACAGTCATGGACCTCACAGATGTTGTTATGCCTTCTCTATATAAATAAACCTTTCAAAACAAATTTTGACACATATTGGTCACTGCATTCAAGAAAAGCGATTAATATACTATAAAAGTTACTGAAACTTTAAACTAAAGAAAATATCCAAGCAGTGCTCTAGAGAGCATCATTATTATGGTTTATTTCCTGTTTAAAGAGGTCACTGGAATTGGAGTCTGCATACTGGACCCTCAGAAAAAACGATAAACAGTTCAAAAGACTTCTGGAACTTCTCCTTCAGCACACACACACAGGGGGTCTGCTGAAGTTGCCCTTTGGTATTCTTCAGAATAACTTAAATGGAAATGATGTATCCTAACAGAGCTAAGTAACTGCACATTTAAGACCAAGAGTAAGTAAAGAGAGAGGCAGAGAGAGAGCAACACATAAGCAATCGACCCTTTCATGCGATAAACAACATATGAAAGTTTGTATCATTACCTGGAATACTATATTGATAGTAGTCGGGGTCATCTGATTCCTCCTTCACTATTACTGTTGTCATTTCCAAAGACATTCATGGAGAAGCACAAAGGAATCAAATATGGATACTAATAACAACCAGATTCTTTAAAAACCCAAAAAAAAACCCCCCCCAAGATCCCAGCTGGTGTCTATTCAAAAAAAAAAAAAAAAGAAAAAAATTATTTTCAGGTGCTGAGACACTGAACAATTGTTACCACTGTTTTAAACCAGCAGGTCACTGTGAGCTCTTTGTTTTGGTTTGGTGACCATCAGTAGGGATTCAGGATTAAACGCTTCACTACAAACCAGGCATCCTCGCAAATGCTATCTGGGATCTGAACATTTAAAAAGAATGGTGTCCTCCTTCTTTGCCCACTACCACAGCCAAAAAAACTCCACCAAAGCCACTCTATCATCCTTTGTGCTGAAAGTACTTCTAGATCTACTCCCGCTCACTCCTCTGTACAGCCAAGTTCAGATACTGTCTGCATCAAGCTGTGCTGCTGGTGGAGCGACACCAAAGATCCTCAGCGGCTCTTGGCTTCCTTCAAGTGAACCATCCCCTCCATAAGCCTTCACAGCATTCCCTAAAAATACTGTCAAATCATCCCAACAAAAGGAGGGTTACTTAATTCTCTTCCCAGCTTAAAGCAGCACTGGGAGGAGGCTGGGACTGACCTGACAAAAAGCTCAGGTTGATTCTTCATGTACGTTGAACTAAATTTGAACCACAAAGGGTACTCAAACCACAAGTTTAAAGTTGTGAAAAAAAAATAATTGACTAAACATAGAAACTTAATTCTTATACAAAATGCTGAGCAGTGTAGCCCAACCCAACAAAAGGGCAAGTCCCTAGTCCCTTGTCCCTAGTCTCACTGGCTTTAAGGGGATTGTTCCTGCCTTGATCTCAAAGCATACGCTTAGCACTGCTCAGCTGCAGATCACAGTACTGTGTAGGGGCACGTCCTACCTGCACCAGAGCTCAGGAACAGTTCTGTGTTTTTAAACATTAAAGAACTCATCTTGCTATTTATTCTTTATTTATTTCCATTTGAGCTAGAAAATGGACATTAGGATTATTATTTACAATTTTTAGTATTTTAGTAATATTAACAAACAAACCAAGATTTTCTCTCTCTATCAGAGAAGGATAAAAGGATCTTGAATTAGAACAAAATAAAGCCCAAAGGATTTTCCTTATTCACTTAAAAATAGCTATTTACAAAGATAAATTATTTTAATGTACAAAATTTACAAGTCTCCTCTTCCTAGAGAAACATTTGGCTAAATACCTGCTAAAAATGCAAACTGAAAAAGAGCATTTTTAAGGAAATAAACATTTTTCTTTCTCATAAAGGATGGATTTTACTGCTTTTTTCTTGGAGCTTCCTATCTCTGCTTAACTCCAACCTACTGAACAGACCCTGTCTTTTTTTTTTTTTCCTTGCAAATAAGGGCAAATAACATACCAGAATCCTCATTTGGTTCCATTTTCACTTGAACGGGAGGACAACTACAAAAATAAACAAATCAGGCACACTAACATTATAAAAAAAGAAATACCACATTTCTGGGAAGTTCCTTAAGCTGTATAGGTTGACAAATAAAATCAATCTCCCAGTAATTTTTTCCAACTAGGAACACAGAAATAAAAAACCTGGCATCTTAGCTTATCTGATTTATCTCAGTGGAATAACCAGGAATCTCCTATCCCTAACATTTTCAGGACATACACAACATTCCAAGCATGTTTACCATTTAATAAGAAGCAAACTCAGAATCAGAGAAACATAATCCCTGTTTTCACATTAACCAATTTTTAATTCATTCCAGATATACTTTCTTCATTTACTGACAACAATTATTTGAAATACTTTAATTGAGGAGGGGAAGGAAGCAACATTACATCTCTTCCCCATCACTGCCGCACCATAAAACATGACAAACTTATCCCTGACAGACATAATGGGAATTAAGAACACTCACTGGGCTAATTAAAACAAAGGGAAACTTTGCCATCTGTTTAATTTGTAACAGTTTCCCCACAAATAATGGTTAAAAGAAGGAGAAAAACTCAGCTTAGTGGCTTTTATAATCCCAGGCAAGCAAAAGTTATCCAACGGTCAGCTGGGCAAAAAAAAGCACATTAAGACAAAGATAAATTATACGAAAATACATAGTTGATGCAAAAAAAAAATGCATTATTTTAAATTCACCTTCCACCTGGTGGCATAACTGAATGTGAAGGATCTGTCATATGAGCTCCTGAAAGTTAAAAGACAATCTTTGAATTTCCTGTACTCCATTTACCTTAAATAGAAATTGAAAATGTAACATTGACCTCATGATGCAAAAGCCTGTTCACATTTTTTAAGCATATGTGCCTATTTTCTGTATTCACAGATATGAGGCAAAGACATCGTTAAACTGCTTTATTACTCTAGAAAGCAACACCAATGTAAAATTACTTCAAACGGGCATTTCACCATGCATTTTAATGCTCTTTTTCATGATGATAAGTGAAAATATTGGGAAACAAAGGTAAACAAATCTTTCACCTAAACTCTGCTTAAAGAAAATGGATAGTTTTATATAGGTTCAGCTTGGTCCTGAAGTACAGCTAGACACAAATAGATTATGTTCATGAAATATCATTTACCACACTGAAAACCTGCCTGGTATTTTCAACAGTAATAAATTAATTACCAGAATCTCTGTAATTTTCCACTCTCTCATCTTCTTACTGGGCAGAGGCAACACATTTCTAATTTTAGTAATCCCGCAACCAGTGGCTGTTTCACCTGAGAAAGTGAAACTTTTCTTTTTTGACTACATTCTTATACAGAATGCTTCATCCTCTTCATAAAACAAATCCTCACATACATGAATTTTGCACGTAAAGCAACATGATCCCATGAAATAAACAGGAGAATGGATTTCTTGTAAGAGAGAAGTGAATTTTTGCAGAGTTTTAAAAAACTCACTCGAGCTCAGACTTTATAATATACAGAGATTTTCACAGGAACTACAACACCCAGCCTAGCCGATTCAGAAGACTAAGTTAATTTTTAAAATGAGATATAAATGCCAAAAATCAGCTATGTACTGGAACACAGAGCACTGCAACATCTTGGCATCTTCTAAAAATGCAATGCAGTCCTTCATCAGTTCACTTCTCCTTTCCATGGGATACTGTGCAATTTACACTAGATTTCTAGGAATTTCTGCAGTTTGCCACTTTACCCACATGACCAAAACTTGTATCTGTATTGCTATCCAATCTAAAATTCTGACCTGTTTCTGTTTAGTCTGAGTAAGCAGTAACTTACCTAGGTGTTTCTTTGGCTCTAGGAAAGGCCTGTGTAGAAATATGGAAAGAAAAACCCACAGCTTTAGCAAAGGCATCATCACTCACCTGGTTATGCAACGTTAAAGACAGAGCACTCCTGTTTAAGAGAAACAGGCTGCAACTTATTAAATAAAAAAATTAATTGGACTTAAGTACAAACCCAGAGTGGACAGACCAGCACAAGAGAGAGCAAATAACCTTTTGATGATAAATGAGATCCCTGACTTGTTTTCCAAAATCCATTTCAGGGTTGAAACATCATAATTTGCTGGATGTTTAAATGCAAGTCCTTCAGGCAGGCCCTGCACTACCATCGCAGACTGGTCCCTCTGAATCTTCTCATATGGCACAGGTATCACTGTTGACTTTCCTAAAGCTTTACCTAGAGAATAAAAAAAAAAAAAAAAAAAAATTGTTTTGAGGTCAAGAGCCCCCAAAGTTAGCAAAAAGATGAGTCCCTCAAAACTTTTTACTTTGCAGATGCAAATTTCTAAAGGAAACCAAGTACTTACTGTTCACATTAATATGCACTGGAACCCACTGAGATGCAGAGGTTTTCTTGAAAGCAAGCTAAATGGGCTGTGCAATAATCTCAAATCACATTCAAGAAGAAAACTCCCCAAGGTATGTGTATGTTTGAGAATCTGCTAAAAAAGTTAAACCTAATGTTGTCCCAGGTCAGTCTTCAGCTCCTCTTCAAGGGCCGTGTTGACAACCTCTTATCAGTCCTTAGTTCCTCTTCAAAGGTATAGTCGTTAATGAGGCACAAAAGTTAGTAAAAGGCTCCTTCTTCTAATCATCAGACCCTGTTTTGTGAGATGTTTGGCTCTCTGTTCCCACTTCCACTTTCTACTGTACAACATTACCACCTTAACAGCACTACAGTTGGAAGGCTAAGATCATGCCGTACCTTCCTCCCAACTGGAAAAAAATTTAGAAATCCAAAGCAGCTATTTAAAAGACTTTAAAGCACCCACCATAGCAAAAGCAGAAAAAGTCCTCCACAGACTTTCTGAGAGCTTCTAGTTCCACAACATCCACTTTCAGCCTGCTTACAGGTGGTACAGTCTTTGTTTTCTGCAGTTCCGCAGCCCTCTCCTCTTCTGTAACACCTGGCAGTCATTTATAAGATAAAATTAAAATAATAAGTTTTAATACTCGCAGTACCTAGTCCCTCCAGTTTCGACTATGGACACTTGGGAAGGATTCCTGAAGGAAAATCGTAAGCACTTACTTGCCTTAGAACCAAATGCACTTATCTATGTACATGAGCAATGAATAAATTTAAGTTTGCACCAAAATTATTACATCCTCCTTACAGTCTTTGTAAATATCGCCCTCTGAGGTGTAAGAATGATGAATTAAGAGACATCCAAGCAGGCACTTTTTTGGCATGAAGAGGTAGAAAACACTATGAATCCCAGGAGAGGATAATACAGTAGAAATAAAATGCAAAAGTCCCAAGAAAACAAGGGCCAGGCCATTCACCAGGGGAAAGGTAAAATGCCTGTGTGGAGGGTCCCATAGCTCTCCAGTGCTATACATGATGTCTTGTGCAGCAGTTAGGTTATATCCTGCTTTGTTTATGCTGTATGTACTTCCCTAAACTTCTTATAAAAGGACTCTGACTTCTGCCACAACAGCTCCTGTATCTTTCCAAAGACATTTTAAGTACACATCTCTAACTGCCAAACAGGAGTTGCAAACCAGACATCATCACACAGAACAGAGAAGATTTCAGCCCTACGCCTTGTTCTAGTCTCCGAGCAAGAGTTGTTGCCCAAGGAGTAAAGGAATAACACTGTCAACATTAAAAAGCAAATGGAAGTGATCCATTTCAGGTGGCAGCCTTCCCTTCCAATCAGTCAGGTCTTGCAAAGATTGAATCACTGAGCAAAAACAGGAAAACAGAGATTTGGCATACGAAAGGAAAAGCAAGGGAGTTACACAATGCAAGAGAACAAACATCAGTCTGAACAACTGACAGGTTACGAAATGAGCTGAAGCAGCAATGCCTTTAGTAAAAACACATCTATCATCTTAAAAACTCCTATCTTCATTTAAAAAGAGAACCTTTTCCTTCCTCCACGGATCACACATCTGCTCTGTGCCCTGGAAACCCACTTCCACACAACATTCAGCTCTCCCCATCTTCAGGCCTAAAACTTTTGCTTTCTCTGCAATATGACAAGGCCTACCACAACATAAAAATAATGCAAAAATGGAGTATTATTATTCACCCATAACACAGGGGCTTAGATAACAACAGCTTATAAGGTTTGCCTGCAGACTAAGGGATGAGAGACATCAGTTTCCATTTACAGCTACATGCAGTGTTGCTTTTTGGGTGGGGTTTTTTCACATAAGAGACTAATTCATTGAAAATGCCTTTACTGCCAGTAGCTTCTCAAACTTGTACCCACACTATCTAAAAATAATAAGCAAAACAAACCCAAGATGACTACACTGCTCACTTACCATTACAACGAAAACCAGGAAATACACAGCCCTTACCTTCTTAACTACAAGAGATACCCTTATCATGGTTTTTTATTACAGGATTTTACCCATTTTCTTAAGATCACATTATGCATCTGCCTCCCTAATCTCTCCCACATTTGTTGGCTGATTTCAATCACGTCTGACAAACGAGATCAAGTCTCAGAGGCAGTAAGATTTAGAAGAGCTCTGATCAAACCTAGCAGCCATTCATCTCCAGCAGACTGACATCTCCGCTTGCTGGAGGCTACACGATGTACAGGCTTTGTTGAAGCCCTCCCCACAATTACTAGAGCACCCAGCAGGATTCAGGCTATGGCTGGGAGAGTGGATGCCTGGGACAGTGCAACAAGACTGAGGGTGGGGTGGGGAAGAAGGATGGGGGGCTGTATTTACAGGACAAAAGGCTCAGGAAGGATGAGCAATGGTGCATTCTACACAGCTGGGAGTACTGCAGGATTAGTCCCCTGATTCAGCAAGATTACAATGAACCACCTCCTAACAACCCTAATTTTGCACTGAGAGTCCATGTACGGTTGAGTGTTTAATTTTCTTGTACTATGCAGATGTTTTGGTTATTCACAACACCCTTCCCTCTTACCTATCCTGATCAGCAGCAGACTGGGTTTGATAGTCCACCCTACCACTTGGCTGGAAAAGGAATCTCTCAGCTATCACCATCCTTATAAATGGATATACTACAAAATGAATAAGGCGCTTTAAAGTTAAAAAAAAAAAAAACCTCTTACAAAAATTATTATGACTGAATAAATAGTTGGATCACTGAAACAATCAAATTTTATTTTTTTCTTGTTGCACTGCAGCAATTAGATAGCTACACCCTGATCTCTGTTTGGGCAGATGCTACAGTATTCTGCCTTATTTAGATGCTGTTATGCTTATAAATTGATGAAGAGAGTTACAGGCCAGCAGTGTTACACAACACTTATTCGGAAGGTCCACTAAAGCACAGTCTGAGTGCAGCAGACTAAAATAGGCCATCAGGCATCTCTGTCTTCAAAGCACCTGACTCCAAGGTACGGAGAAAGGTGCTGCTTGGAGGAGGCAGGCTGCATTTCTCCTGCGGAGCAAAGCATGCCCTGCCAGGCCGTGCTGCAGAGAAGTGACAAAACCAGCACTGACCACATCTCTCCAAAGAAAAAGAAATAGAAATCGAGCTTTAGCAGAGAGAAAATATACTTAACTGAAATTTCCTCAAAAACGTGACCTGAAGATGAAATGCTGCACAAACAGCAACAGAGAAAAGCCGTAAGGATACAGTATCTGAAGCTGATGGAGCTCAACTCCCCTCTAGCAAAAGAGCTGGCAGTCCCATGGTATGCAAGGCCCCTTGCAACATCGGAAGGTTTTTAATCAGGTGGTGTTTAATCCCCCAGGTAGTTGCTGCCTAGGATTAAACCATGACACTAAATACCAAGCCCCTTGCTCACCTCCCTCCCCTCTCCAGTGAAGCAGGAGAATCAGATGAAAAGACAAGGAAACTCATGGGCTGAGATAAGAATAATTTAATTATTCAATATAAATGAATATAATAGTGATACTAGTAATACGTTACTACTAACATAATGTAATGAAAATAATGCTACCGCTAATAATAATACATAATGAAAATAATGGAAAATAAACCAAATTATACAATTGCTCACCACCTGCCGACCGATGCCCAGCCAGTCCCAAGTAGCAAGAGCCAGAGCTCAGGAGCGAGAAAGTTCACTAATGAACAGTGTCCCCCCTAGCCCATCCCCAGCTTATATACTGAGCATGACGTTATATGGCATGAAATACCCCGTTGGTCAGTTTGGGTTAGCTGCCGAAACTCTGTGTCCCTCTCCTCTCCCCTCCTGCCCGCCCCAGCTTGTAGCAAAAAGTTGGGAACACAGTTGTAGTATCAGAAGCTGGAAAAAGTCCTTGAACTGGGACAAACACTCCTTAGGAACAACTAAAAACACCAGTGCTATCAGTACTCTTCTCAGGGCAAATCCAAAACAGCCTCACACCAGCTACTGTGAGATACTAACTCTGTCCTGACTAAACCCAGAAAGTCAAGAAAAGATTTTAAGGGTATGAATGTCACCCCTGTGCAGACACTCTGAGAGGCAACTTAAGGGCAACAATTATTTTGTGACTCACATACATATATTTAATAATTTGTGCTTAAGAAAAATTACTCTCTGAAAACAACTATGAGCAATGAAAGAGGGAAAGTAAATGTGTGTGTGGCTAAAAGCGTTTTGCTTTGTTTTGCAGTGCATCCACCCAGTTCATCTGTGAGCTTTCTAAGGCCATCCAGTTTTACTGTTCAGGAAATTGGACACTAACCTCAAATTAAAGGAAAATAATTGTATGATGATCAAAGGATCACTTAAACCACAAGAAAAGCAAAGCACCTGAGGCAGAATTTAGGAGCCAGGGAATTTGAAAAAGATCCACTATCTACATTAATTTTCTGTTTGTTTGCAACTCTGAGGGAAGGAGAAGGGTGGTCTCTGCTGAAACACGACTGAGCTTCTTGCCAGGTTTTATAAACTACCTTTAGTTTCCTACCCCTTAACAGGCTAGACAGGGAAAGAACAGGAAAAATTTCTGGCAAGCAAGACAAGCAACCTAGCTCTAAAAAGACTATAAAAGAGGCCAGTTACCCAGATATGAAACAAACCCAGAAAAACAGCACAGAGCTCTGAGCTAGGCAGGGCATGGCTAAACGAAAGGTGCTGGGAAAGAGAGGCATCTGGACTGGCACACCACCTGCATGAGTCTGTTCCTGACACGTCCGCAGAGCCAGAGGCAGATAATGGAAGCAAAGGAAACACCCCTGAGGAAAACAGGCAGAAAGTGATCTTTCAAAGCTTCTGCTATTTTTAGAGTGTTGTAAATGCATTGTTTGTTTCATTTGGAAAACTTAGGAAAGGGGGTCAACTGACTTGTAAAACAAGGGAAGCTGCCAGCAACGTAAAGCCTGAGAAACACAGATTAATTCACTCCTAATACCAGGAAAAAGGGCTGCAAATGAATCCATCAAAAAATACACGGCTAGCCAGGGCTGGCCATCACCCGCTTTGGGTAAAGCCCTAATCCATGGCAGGGGTAAATACATCAGTCTGGAAAACTGTGATGGCCTACAGACAGCATGGCCAGGAGCAGCCGTCCATCTCTCCTGGTCTTACAATTTGCAGGAATAATCCAAGATATCTGCTGCAAAAAGGGAAGTGAAAACTCAGGTACACAGAGAGCCACAGCTGAGTAAATTCCCATTAGAAGTGACTGGGAAGAGCCTGCTCCAGTAGATACTCAAACAGAACAAGCATTTAGCAGAGGTTGTTTTGAAGAGGCTACTCCCAAATAGCTGGAAGGAAATCTGGCATGAAAAAAAGGCTGAGAGTAACAGATGTAAACCAGCTCTGGCTTGGCAATAGGAAAGCATCATGGATGGTCATAGCTTTAAAAAACTATTCCAACATCCTTTCCCCTCCCACACACACACACATTCTGTAAAGTGTACCCATTTAAGTGCACAGGAAGACCAAAGCTAAAGCAAGAATCGTAGGTGCAGCCTTTAAACGCAGCATTTGCATTTAAAATAGGTGACAGGTTAGTGATGGCATGCATACAACTAACTCCAGTGTTTTGTCAGGATTTATCCTCTGCCTGGCTCTTACTGCTTTTCTTTCATTTACTATTTAAGCCTACAATTTAATGACTCCTTTCTCTTCCAAAATATTCTGTAGCTTCAGGAGCAGCAAAAGCCACAGAAGTCTCAGCTGGCCACAGAATAGTTTAGGGCCAAAGAAAATGACTGTGGGAAACCAGTTTCCACACTGGCACATCATCATCAAAAAGAACTGTTATTTTTAAACGAGCTGTATTAGTGTCAAGGGATTAGCCTCTGAGCAACATAAAAAGATGTCAGCTCGTTACAGAATGGTATTTTCACCAGAGCACATAATCAGAGACAAAGATGATGATGAAGATTGTCCTTTAGATATCCTAACGAGGGCAAACAAATATAATCAATAGCAGTCACACTCACTAATAACCTCTGTGATTAAAGTAATGCTGCAAAGGTGTTAGGCTGCTTCCAAACAGGTCAGGGGATTCAGTCTATACTCAATTTCAAGTCTGAAACATTCCACTTTTGAGCTGAAAAGCTAAAGACCCCATTTAGATACTGCTTCTGAAATACTACAGGCATGACAAGTAAGATACACAGAATATAATCAGAGGTAATCACAATAGTGAGGAAAAAGCACATCAACTGTATTAATGCTTTATTTACATCATTTATTTACAGGGGCTATCTCAGCAGGTTTCACCAAAAAAATTTTTAAGCACAAGTCTAAAATTAACCCAGAGCTACTGAGTTAATAAAATATTCACACTACTGTAGCTTGACTCCCACCTATTATCTTCTAAACACAAGATCTGGGCATGATGCTCTCAGGTCTGCAGTATCAGTCTGTTCAGATTGCTTACAGTAGAAGTACACAGATGGGATCAAACACGTAAATAGCTCCTACCATTAGAAGAATTAATAAAAGCAGCATGACATGCCAATCAGAGCTTCAGCATGTTAAAGTTTATATTTGTATCAACGTGTTATACACTTTATTGAGCTTTCGTTAAAAAATACCAAAGTCATTTATTTCTACACCGTGCTTTTTGGATAAAGAGAACTAACAGAACACAGTTCCAGACAAAAATATGGATTTATGAGCTATTTAGATGCCTACAGGTAGATGTCCTGGAGACTTTCAGAAGCCTTGCTCTAGATTTTTAATTTAGGTACCTAAGTTGCTTCGTAGATCTGGCCGTACTGGTAGCATTGCTTTTATTATTGCCCTTATTGGAACTAATTGCACCTGTGGTGATGCAATGGAGGATGCAAACATTTTTTGTAATCTCAATCACAAGTATTGACTGTTTTATTTCAAAATACTTCCAGTTTGAAAAAAAAATTTGTAAGTCAGACAGTTTGGAGTGCATGTCCCTCTTGTCAGTAAGAAACAGCATAAGACAGATAATAACAGGCAAACAAACAAAGGAAGTTGCTGCCTTCAAACAGTTGGACTTCAGGGCTGTAGTGTCCATATGCACTTTTCCATGGAGGATGACTCCAGCCAGTGCCACAAATTCCTCTATAGGAATTCCTCTGCAGCAACCACTAGTATTCACTGCTGATGAGATCTCCTGAAGTGAGCAAAGGCCTCACTTCTGATGAAAGCGTATCCGGAGTGTTCAGGCTGCTTTCCAGCTGGCCAGGATCTCAGTATAGTGTATGTGATACCACCAAACAGCCCAAAGTCCAAGTAGGCGCTTTTGCTGAACTACTCAGAATCCTATTTGCACATCCTTAAAGACCAAAGGATTACTCCACAGCCTTTTCGTGTGAGTGAAGCACCAAGACCATCTAAGCTGACAGAAGTCAGCTACCTGTTCAATGTCCTGCCGAGCCTCCATAAATAGAAAAGACTTGAAGGCGAGGATACAAATCAAAATTAACACGCACTAGGAAATGCAGGATGTGTTGTGAGGGTGGACAGCCTAATACTCGTTATTGTACTAGTTTGTCATGTTATCTAAGAGAAAATAAACATTTCCAGTCACAGTTGAAATAACACTTCCAACAAGACCACTGTTACTGATCATTTTTATGTTCTTAAACCACTGGATTTGCCATAGCCAACATAATTATAGCGTGTAGCCATAATAATCAGAACATTGCTCCCCAAAGTTATTAGTGTTGTGCAGTACACATTAAGCAGCTTGTGAAATACAAAAATACAACATTGAAACTTACAGTATTTAACAAAATCCTTCTGGAAATCTTTCCTAGAATTGACAAAGGCTCTTCCTCTCTCAGTTCCAACTACAAACACATCTGTTTCATATACAGCAATACAGGCAACTTCTGCCTTGGACTTGGCAAGTTGTTTACACTATAAGAAGAAAAACAAAAGGCTTTTATTACCATAGCTAAGAATACAGTTGATGGAAAAGTATGTGGTATCATGTAAAACAGTTATTACTTCTGCTGGCAGTATCCACCGTTCAGAAGGTACTGCAAGTAACATAACATCAGCCATTAGTGAAGGATAATTTATACAGCTGGAGTGCTTTTCATCAGGAATCTTAAAAGCACTGTAGATGCATTCATTAAATTAAGGCCTTGTCTAGACTCAGAGATTACACTGGTTTTAATTAAAATGATTTATGACATCAATCCATGGGAAATTATCACTTCCCCGTTAGATAATCATATTCAGTGTCTTACTCCAACTTTCAACACAGCATATAGGAGTTTTGTTCACTCACGGAGTACTGATCACACGTCATGTTCTGTTCAGCAAGGTGTGGTTGCAAGCAGGAAGGTTGCCTGCAGTCTGCCTTGTCCTGCCTGCTGTGCTCAGGTGAATTCCTCCTGAGCAGAAGGATTGCACCTTGCCATGAACACCTATGTGTGTTCTGCCAGGAGTAATTCCTGGCAGAGTAAGGCAGGAAGCCTGCAGCACTAGGAGAGAGCAAAGATCCTAAGGAAATTAGTGAGATCACCAAGAAGTGATCACAAAAAGTTAATTTCTCCTAGAAATTCAGATCAGAGTTTGTTGTAACCTATGAAGACACCAACAACCGCAGCATGGGAGGAAGGAGCGACACAAAACTTACAGGAACTGCACATACCCACTGGGAAACAACGCTTAGCAATCAATTCTCTCACAGCCATCCCACTGAAAAGTTTCATTGCTACAAATGAAAGCTTTTGTTCTTGCTCATCATTTAAGAAAACAACTTCAATGGACCACATCTTTGACAGTGTCTCAGCTTTAAAAAAATGGGAGAGGCATTTCCACTCACAGCCATGGCCAACCTTAAATCCTGCCACACAACCATTAGGTAACTTCTACAAAACAGCTGACATGCCAGCTTAAAAAAAGAAAAAACTCTTTCCTGCACAAGCCTTGCTGAACTGGTACAGCAGCTGAGGACAAGGCATCAGCCTCAAGGCCCTGTATTCACTCAGATGACAAAGACCAGAACACACTCTTGCTTTTCAACCACGCTCTACTGAGCAATCAATAAATATTTCCCATTTGTTTATTTGAACCTATAATTTTTAAAACCACCACACCACAACAGGAAACATGATGACACTTAAGACGACTGTTAGCGTGACTTTCCACAAGCAAAGAGACAGTTACAGCTGGTTGGACATCACGCAATAAAGTAAAGATATAAAATTACACCTTTCCTGCTCCTCAGTGGGAGGCAATACACTGGTGTGATCCTGCACATGCCAAGACAGAGTTACAATGCAGCTGCTGAACTTCTCTACTAACCATTGACTCAAGTGCTGACATGAGGAACGTAACCACCACTCCGCTGTCACGGGAGTCCTCATCATGGATGGACCTTGCTGGTGCGCTAGGTTGGGCCATTTTCCTCCTACGAAATGAAATACAAAAACTGTTCAGATACACGCAACGGCACAAGAAAACTAAAACCTCTCTTATGAAAACAAAGAAAAAAAAATTCAGAGAACGCAGAACACAGCCTGCCAGACACAAACAAGCAAATATACAGATACATTAAGAGGAGGCAATGCTCACTCTTCTTCCATGCTTCCTGCTTTTTCATTCAAAGCTGAAGCTAAACATTCAAGTAAAAATGTTGTGCCATGACTAGACCAGGAGCCCTTTGCACCTAGAAAAGATGCTTATTAATTGATTAGCTAATTTACACTGATTTTTCTTTCTAGGCATGTTTGCAACTCCATCAGTCCAGAAAAACACAGCAAAAACCACTGGCATTAACATACAGAAAAGAAATGGCAAATCACAGTTATGACAAGTATCAGAACAATCCTTCCTGCCATTATCATGCTCTGGCTCAAAACAAGTCACCCCCACCCTGCCCCAAAATCATGGCCTCAGAAACCAGAGTATCAGTAACCAGAATGCAACGTTTTTATCAGCATATTCTTCAGCTGTAGGATTAACTCCAAAGTTAAGCAGCCCCAATTAAGGTGCTAAAATTAAAAACTGAATTTCAGCAGTGACAGAAAAAAAGAGATTTAAACCTAGTTTTTCTATGTCATTCAGGAGGCTTTCAATTTAAGACATAAGTAATATTCACGACTTGTTTAAGCTTCTGCTGGCAGAACTGTCTATACAAGAAGGAATTGGGAATGATGTCTCAGCAGCTGCTAAGAGCACGTTTTTCTATCGGAGTGTTGCAACTTGTGTTGTTTACACATATCTAAAGCAATAACCTGACACGCCTGGAGAAGGAGAGAACTGGAAGAGACTTCACTGTTACAACTCCCTGTGCAAGTCTTGAGAAAAACCACCTCAAAAGTCAAGATAGCTCAGGTGAAGGAGACCTTCCGCAACAGCTCGATGAGATATCCTGCTGCTCCTGTAGAACTTGGACACATAGCGTGGCTCAAGTTTTCAAAGGGGACGTGTATCCCGTCAGATGTGCAGACAGGTCGGGGCAGCACAAATAACCACTACACATGATAATGCACGCTGACGTTCAAAAAACTGCACCAACTGCTCTTTTGATAGGACTTAGAGCACTTCAGACTAAAACTGGAGGTGGGGGGCATGCAGGGAAAGCTAGCAACACTGCAAGCTCACAACAGACATCCAGCAGCCTTCTGGCTCTCCAGACAGGCCGGCAAGGTGTGACCAGGTTTAAAGGTGCGTTATGGATAAACACTGCAGCAGGGTCAGCAGCTGTGTGAGGATGCTGGTGTTCAAACCCCTCATGAGCTCCACCAGCTACACTGAAGAGTAGGCAAACAGGTCCTGGAAAAGGAGCTACACTTCAGTAGTGAATACAAAGGCATCACAGCTCTTCAACTACTTCAGTAAACAACTGCTAGTGGTTTAACCTGGGCTCGTAGTGAAGTACCACACAGTCACTCACTCACCTACCCCCTCCTCCAGCGAAGATGGATCGGAGGAAAAGACAAGAAAGCTCATGAGATAAGAGCTATCTAATAATTGAATATAAGTTAATATTATAGTGATACTAATATTAACAACACTAATAATAAAGTGATAGAAAATAAAAATCCTAAACAATTGCTCACCACCCGCTGACCGAAGCACAGCCAAGTCTTAAGTACCAAGAGTCAAGAGAGCCCAAGAGAATCCCATGAGTGACAGCACCACCAGGAAAGACAACCAACCCACCAACTCATTAACAAACAAGCAAGCTAGCAAGCTAGTAAGCAATTGAGCAAGCAAAGTAGCTATACCCCCCCTCAGCCCACTCCCCGCTTATGTACCGAGCACGACGTGCTACGGAATGAAATCCTCCTGTGGTCAGTTTGGGTCGGCTGTCTGAGCTGTGTGTCCCCTCACACTGCCTGTAGTGAGAAAGCTGTGAATGCAGCAAGTATCAGAAGCTGAAAGAGACCTTGAATTGGTGAAAGCACTGCCCAGCACCAAATAAAGCACACCTTACCAGTACTATTCTCAGGGCAAATCCAAAACCATAACCTCGGAGCAGCCACTGTGAAGTAAATTAACTCTGTTCTGACTACAACCAGCACAGAGGGTCAGCTGGGGATGGGGAGGCAGAGGCTGTTGGGGTTATCCTCCAAAGGAAGAAGAGCATCTTATTGCTGGTGGGAATTCAGAAGGAAAAGGGAAATTATGATGTGACCTCAATAAATCAAACTTCATTGAGTCATGATTTTTGATACCTAATACAGTTCTCAAGAAAATCTCTGAAAATCCTTTAGGGTTGGGATGCTGACAGTGATTTTAAACATGATAGCATTTAGCCTTTTTAACAATCCAATATTAAAGATTAAATATAAAATAACACATTTCCCATTTCTCCCATGTCTCGTCTCTACTGTCTGATGCAGCTCTTCTGCATCATTTCAACAGCTCCCAAGTGAGCAGTGGCACAAACATACACATCTACCACATTCTAGGTGAAAAATCAGGCTGTGTAAAAGCAAGAGTAAACTTATTTTCTATTTTGAAGAGATACCTTGTCCAGAAAACAGAACAAAGAAATTCTAGTGATCTGCTGAAGGCTGAGGATGCACAAGCACATCAAAGCAGTGCCAGCTCAGGATCTCTCCCCAGTGAAGAATTGCTCCCATCCCTAGAAGGTGGTTTCTGATCCATAGGCACACAGCAAATCAAGTCAGGGGACTTGTCCAGGGAACAGTGACAAGAAGCACTGGACCGGGTCCCATTTTGATTCACTGCACAGCCCCACAGACAGCTTCCTGGCTCAAGAGAGGACAGCACATCCTAAGCTACCTTCCTGCTGCATGTAAGGCCACAGCCTCAGTATCTCAGAAAAGCACCTGAATTGGGAGGTGGTTTAGGTTATCATTGGACTAATCTTCTAATTTGGAAGGGGTTTGCCAAATTGTAATGTCATAGCCCCTTATATTTTTAGGATACCCATTCTTTAACCAGTTTGCATGGTGCCAGATCAGTTCTTAATATGGATCCAAGAGACATCCTGATGCACCATAGCAGCACAAGAATATTTTTTCTTACCCACAAGACAGCAAGACACAGATGAAAGATAGTTTCTTTTTCCCCACATTTCACCAGTTTCTCCCTTTCAAACAACAGTTTTCTCCACTACTCTTACCTATACCACTGGGACAGTGTTTATTAGTAGGAAGAGTAGGCTATGGTTCAGTAGATCTCATGAACCTGACTGCTTTTCCAAGATCCAGCCCTTAACAAGCATGTGATAACATCATTGCTCAATGTAAATCCTCAGTGCAAAGCCTTGATGAAAAAAAAAGTAACCTCACCCATTACTAACATGCTACACAAAAAGGGCCAATTTAAAAACCATCCTTTGTACAATTATAAGCTGGTTGCCAGAGCACCACTTATGATATATCTATTAATCTTAATCACATATTGCTAAAAAAGAACTTCCAGATCAGTTAATATTATAGTTACCTATAAATCCTTCAATTAAACTGTGCCAATATGAGCCTTTGCCCAAGTAAAGGCTTGAAACAACGAACAAAGCCTTGCAAAATACACTGGGAGAGTACCGGGGATGTAGTATTTAGCCATTCCTGCCTGTGGTTTAACCCTGGCCAGCAACTCAGCCCCACACAGCCACTCGCTCACTCCCCCCAGTGGGATGGAGGTAAGAAGCAGAAGGGTAAAAGCAAGGAACCTCACGGGTGGAGAGAAAGACAGTTTAATAGGTAAAGCAAAAGCCATATGCACAAGCAAAGTGTGCTGGTTTGGGCCGAGGCAGGAGTTAATTTTCTTCACAGTAGCTGCTGTGGGGCTGTGTTTGGGATTTGGGCTGGAAACAGTGTCGGTAACACAGGGATGTTTCGTTACTGCTGAGCAGTGCTTGCACAGAGCCAAGGCCTTTTCTGCTCCTCACCCCACCCCACCAGCAAGGAGGCTGGGGGGGCACAGGAAGCTGGGAGGGGACACAGCTGGGACAGCTGACCCCACTGACCCAAGGGATATTCTGTCCCATGTGGTGTCATGCTCAGCATATATGACGCCACTGACCCAAGGGACATTCCATCCCATGTGGTGTCATGCTCGGCATATAAAGCTGGGGAAGAAGGAGAAAGGGGGGATGTTCAGAGGGATGGTGTGTGTCTTCCCAAGTCACCGTTACGCGTGGTGGAGCCCTGCTTTCCTGGGGATGGCTGAACCCCTGCCTGCCCATGGGAAGTGGGGAATGAATTCCTTGTGTTGCTTTGCTTGTGTGCGAGGCTTCTGCTTTACCTATTAAACTGCCTTTATCGCAACCCAAAAGTTTTCTTATTTTTACTCTTCCAATTCTCTCCCCTTCCCACTGCAGGGGGAGTGAGGCTGTGGCCGTGTGGGGCTGAGCCGCCAGCTGGGATTAAACCGTGACACAAAGCAACACAAGGAATTCACGACCAGCTGTCAAGCTAGCCCAAGTCTTAACACCCCTCCCAGGCCACTTCTCGCCTCTCAACGCACATGCCCTGAGCCTGATGTACCATGGAATGACACACTCCCTCCACCACCCTGGGCCAGTCATCTGCACTGGGACGAAAAGCGGCTCTTTCCTGCCTGAAACCAGCATAACCATTAAAAACCAAAAACCCAACCCCAAACCAAACCACACACACAAAACACAACCACACCAAAAAAAACCCCCACAAAAATCTAACTAGGAGCCAGAATGCTTCTTGGCTCTCAGCTGTCACCCCTTTGTTTCTTTGCCTTCTGGGCCAAGACACAATTTCAGTGTATTTAACTCTGCCCAAACATTGGCCTTCTGACAAAGGACAGAAGTTAAGTCTCTCCAAACCATACAGATTAATACTCACAAGCTGTTAAGTGCAAATGAATCTTTTTAAAAGATCTTGGCAAAAAAAAACTGTGTTATTTTTCCTACAATTTGGTTCAGTGATCTCATGTTTCAGAGGAAGTTAAGTCTGA